TTTGGATTATAGAGGTAAAAAGTTATAGTCAAAAAACTAGCAGTTTTGGAGGAAATGTCAATTTTTAAATCAGAACTTTTTTGTAAAAATAAGAGGCACACAATAAATATTTATTATTTGTAATATGCCAATAAAAATAAAATTAATTTAATTTTTAGAAAATAAATAAAATTATCAGAAAGTTTTTTGGGGGGAGAGGGAGGAAATTGTTTGTTAAGGAGAGATTTAATTTTATTAAATTTAATTTAAAAATTATTTTCTAAAATAATAATAATATTATGTATTTTTTGTATTGTTCTTTGCTGTTATTATTTAAAATTAGGGATAAATATTTTATTGAAAAAAATATTTTGCAGAAAGTCTCTTAACATAATATTTTCATGCATATTTATTGTCTCGGAATATTTATTCATTAAAAGCCATCAAAATCAGTGATGATTGGATTTTCTATGTAGAGAATCTTTCCTTTATAACACTGAACTGTGATTACATAACTCAATGAGTGAGACGAATTTTTTTATAGTCTTCCGAACCTCCAACCCGATTTTCTGGTAAACCCCCAATCAGAATCCCGAAGGGGCTACCTCGCCAAACCCGATTCCTGACACTTCCGACTCCGAAAGGTCGGAAGTGTCAGGAATCTACCTATTTAGAGCTACCCTATTTAGTTGCAACTAATCACAAATACTTTGTTTATCTAAATTTATAAATATTTGTCATCAACAGAATGAATGAGACAAATTTAAAAAATAATCTTTAATTATGTTATATAATCTTCAATATCTCAGATAATCTGAGACAAACTTTCTTGTTTAATTATAAATTTTAATTAATATGTAATTTGTACAGTTCTATCACGCATTGAAGTTTGATGTATTGGAACAACTTGAGTAATATTTGAATTATTTTTGCATCGAAAAATTATTTGTCTGTAATTTCTTACACTCAAAATTGTTACCTTTTAAATTTATTTTATTAAGTTTTCAAAGAAATAAATAAACTCACAATAGGATTTAAAACAGCAACCACAGATCCCAACCCACAATTAATGAATATTATAATAGATGATGAATATAAACCAGGCAAATTATATAAAAAATTCAAATTGTTAGAAAAGTTGACAAGATAAGGTAATATAGCAGGGATGGGCGAAATCAAAAAATAAAAAGCGAAATACGAAATGCGAAACTTTTTTTAAAAAAATAAAATGCGGAATGCGAAACTTTTCGCGCCAAAAAATGCGAAAAATGCGAAAGATGCGAAATGCGAAAATGCGAAATTATTTAAAATTCAAAAAATTTTATTAATATTCAAAATTATAAATTACGAGATTATGATGCAAAAATAAAAGCATTTCTGCATTTTCTTGAATAAGACGTTTCCTCAGATTGTTTATTATTAATCCTGCACTACTAAACAACCTTTCTGCTTCAGCTGATGTACAAGGTGCTGATAGAAAGCGCGCACTATCTTTATTTACGATTAAATATTTTATTGAAAAAAAATATTTTGTAGAAACATTCTCTTAACATATATTTTTAGCGAGACAAATACATTAATTATCTAAATTTATAAATATGAATTATACTTTCTTGCTTCATTATAAAATTTAATTATTTAATATATTGTATAGTTCTATCCGGCATTGACGTTTCAGGCATCGGAGCAACTTGATTAATATTTGGATTGTTTTTGCATCGAAAAATTATTTGTCTGTAATTTCTTACACTCAAAATTGTTACCTTTTAAATTTATTTTTAATTAAAAAAAATAGATAAACTCACAATAGGATTTAAAACAGCAATTGAAGATCCCAAACTAGAATTAAGGAATATTGCAATTGACGATGAATATAAACCAGGCAAATTAAATAAAAAAGTTAAATTGGCGAATAAGTTGGTGAGATATGTTAGTAATGGAAGAATGGCCTATAAAATTGATAAATTAAAATGTTGAGAGGTTGCTTGAAAATCCTTCGAGAGTTCTCCATATCTGTACATTACCTGTGCCCCCAAAACAATACTCATTTGTTTATTCATATTACGTAATTGAGTCATTTCTACACCTTTACAGTGACGATAAACATGTATTTGAATACTTATTCCACAAAAAATAATTATTATATAATTAATTATTGTTAATGCTGAAGCATAATATCCAGTAAAAGTTAAAAAATCATTTGTCTGTAAGCATTAATTTTTAAAAGCAATTGAGGCCCCCGCAAGGGGAAATTTTCAGGGGAACGGGGTTGGGTCCAGTGATGGGAAAGTTCCAAAATTTCTCTGGAACCGGTTCCAATTTTGGAACTGCTTTTTAAATGTCGTCGGTTTCAGTTCCGGGACCGTTTTTTAAATTTTGGCGGTTCCTGTTCCAGTTCTGTAACCTCCTTTTTAATTTTGGCAGTTCCAGTTCCGGTTCTGGAACCGGTTCCAAACCGGTTCCAGTTCCAAAATTTTTTTAGCTATTCTAATGAAAAATTTTTATTTTTTATATAAACAAGGTGCAAATCAATGAATTAATAATGTTAGGTTGTATCAATAATAGGGTTTTTCGGTTTCACCAAATTCTTCGGTTAACCGAAAGTGAAACGATAAACCGAACTGAAGTTTTCGGTTAATCGAAACCTAACCGCGAAACCAAACCGAAGCAGTATACCTCTAGCAAAGAGAATCGTATCATCAATAATAGGATATCAGGCATTTGAACGGATATCAGTGAATATCTTAGGCATTTCTTTCCAACCCCAATACTAATCAAATTCTAGTTGCATATCCGTAGCCGAAGTAGGATATTGCTATCTAGCCCAGAAGTTCCCCAATTAGCGAAGTTCCCCACAGGTCAAATTTAGATTCTGGCGACATTTTCTCCCATGTTTTCTCGACTAATCAAGTAACCTACTCCGGTCCTTAATCCAACAACATAATTTTTGATAGTATAATTATCCAATTCTAATATTTTTGCCAAATCATAATTAGTTAAATATTCGTTTTCTGGTGTTGGGTAGTTTGATAAACAAGAAAAAATATTTAAAATAAATATTGGGATTGTCATGCCAACAATTAATAATAATTGGTGTTTAAATTTAACATCAACACTGCTGTATATAAAAGTTATATTTTAAAAGCCTTGATAACAACGTTACCGTACAACAACAAAGTAGCGATAAATAAATAATGTACAGACATTCATGAAAGTAACTCTTGCCATAAAATTATTAATACGGAGAATAATAAATTGCCAGGGGTTTGGTAAGTAATGTATAGGTCCGTAATTCCACAATGTTCCAACACCATTATCAGAAAAAAGAACCTTTTTTAAACGAGAAAATTAATTTTTCTTCAAAATTTATAGTCAATCACGCCAAAACATTCCCGCGCCCAAACTTCAAATATTTACCGGTTGAGAAACAACAAACATACAAATCCCAACAATATCAACAAAACAAGTTTGTAAAAGTATTTTGCTATAAACTTGCATTTCTTTCATTGTATAACGTAAAATTAGCCAAATTAAAAACAAATTAGAAAACAATCCAAATGTAGCAAAACAATAAATTATTGTTGAATATATTTCTCCTATTAACATTTTTTCCTAAGAGAGGAGGTATGTTTTTAATTATTTAATCATGTTTTGTTCATAAAACATGTTTGTATACAAAACTTGTTTGTGTTTTTCAGAGAAACATTCGTGTTTTAATATGTTTGAAAAACAAGTTTTGTAAAACAAATTTTGTTGTTTAACAAAAGTCTTGTTTATAATCACAACCGTGTCGCGACACTTGCAGATATGACATTTGCAGACCCGACAACTTTTTCAGACCCGACATTTGAGATACCGACACTTACAGACCCGACTTTTGCAGTTCGGACATTTGCAGATAACATTGGCCCGACAATTGCAGATCCGACTTTTGCAGATTAGCTTTAAATGTAAAATTCTATATGTAAATCTAGATATAAATTTAAAATTTACATAAAAATCAATGTTTTATTTTGTCAGTTCATTGGTTTTTAATATTTTTAAATTTTTTTAAAATTAAAAAAAATTTTTTCGAAAATTAATATCTGCAAATGTCGGGTCTGCAAATATCTCGTCTGCAAGTGTCGTATGACCATCACAACATGTAATATGTTTTTTCAACAAAACTTGTTTGTTGTAGAGTTATGTTTTTGTAAAACTTATCTTTAATGTTTGAAAGTTTGTTTTAGAAAGTTTAATTATTTCTATAAACAATAAAACATAGAGTAAAATAGCTAGTGCTGAGATATGTACTATACAAAATTTAAGTTAAAATATTTTTCAATAAAAATTATTATTTAAATAAAAAAAATTTCAATTAAAAAGAAAAAACTTTTAAAAAATTTACTTATAATAACAGATGTTTTAAATGTTTAAGAAATTAATTTAAAAAAATAAAGAATTTAATAAAACTTAAATAATAAATTTATTCATTTAAACATAATTATTGTTTACATTTACTTTTTAAAAAAATATTTTTTAACGTAAATGTGTATTAAAATGCCAATTATTTTAATTTATTCAGTAAAGGTTAAGATAAGCGCGACCAACTGTTTACCAACAGGCTTTGATCAATTATACCTTTTTTAGACTTATCCCATCCAAGTGAGTTTTATGTCATTTGAAGGCCTCGATAAGTGGAACTTCATTAAAAAGCCACAGTTAAATTTTACTTTTCGTCCGTTTATATGGGATATAGGATAAAAAAATTAGTCATAGTCAACCAAAGCTAACACCTAGGTGTACCGCTTAAATGACACTTTTTGAAAACTTTATGCAATCTTTTATATAAAATAATTAATAAATATTTTATTAAAAAATATTTTGGAGAAAGTATTAAATAAAAATAACTTAAGTAAAAAATATGTAAAACATCAGAATACAAAAATGAAAATCAAAATTATAAAACGGATACAAATAAAAAAATAAATCAGAAGCAAAAAAATACAAGAGAAATCAGAATTATTAAATTAAAGAATTATTTAAATATTTCCAAGTTTTTTAATCATAAAAGCATAATGTAAACAAAGTTTTCGGTTTTTTTCATCCTTTGGATCATACAAACGCATAAAAAGATCGAGAGGAATTGCATGAGGATCTAGATGAGACAATCCAAAAATCTGTTTAAAAATGTGAAAAATTAAATTTTTAAATCGGATTTTTGAAAAAAAATAAAGAATCTTAAATTTAAATTAGAATCTCATACCAGAATCTTAAAAATCATAAGTAATTTTAGAAAAATCGGAATGGTTTTAAGTAGGGTTCCAAATTTACGGGCAGGTGACTCTTTTCATGGGGACGGTGGTTGCGACGGTTTTTGCATTGGTGACGGGGACGGTGCCTCTGGGGAGAAAGCCTCCAACCGTCCCCAGTTAACCACTGTCTCTGGGAACGGTGTTGGAAACCTAGTTTTAAGACGAACATTTTTAATTTAAAAAACCAAAAAGTTTAATTAATATTTTTAAAATCGGAAAATTTCAAAATAAATTATAGAATTTAAAAGTAATTCAATTCTTTCTAAAAATTTATTTTTAATTAATATTAAATAAATAAAAATCCCCACTAAATTGACAGGCATTATAGAAACAAGTCTTCGCCAATATTCTGTTTGAGGTGCCGCTGCTAATTCGTGAATGAAGAAAATAATAAAAGTAACTGGTGGGCGAAGGTTACAATCACGGACAATTCGTTCAAAACGCTTTTTAAAAAATTAAAGGGAAAAAATAATTTTTTAGAAAATTAAGGGAAATGATAAAAAATCCCCTTGAAGAATTATTAAAGAATATGGATAACTCAATGTAATTTTTTAAATAAATTATTTTTCAAATTAAGTCTTAAAATTTAAAACAAAATTAATTTTCTTTTGTTTAATAAACAAAATAACTACCTCAAAAACATTGCTAACAGTTAATTGTGCCTTCAAAGCATCTTTAGGCAAACGTGACGATGTTGTTGTTTCATTCATTGAAGAAGTACAAGTTTCAACAACAGAAGAAGATACATCAACACTCTTTTTAAATTAGAAAAAAATAATAATCTTTAACTTTAAATAATTAATTGGTTTTATTGGTAATTGGTAATTAATTGGTAATAATTAATTGCCACAGCAGCTTGTTTAACCAAATCTACTTTCTATGACTTAGTATGTTTAATTATGGATCTGTGGTAGAGCGAACTTAAGAATGCTTGTCCCTCTTTTAAATTCCAAAAAAAACTTTTAAAAAATCCAAAAAGGAAAATTTTTAATTAAAATTCTCTTTAATTACTTTTTTCTTCTGAATTCCTAAAGCTTCATTTTGTACTTGTTGCTCAGCTGAAGAGGAACTACAAGGTGTCTGGTCCATTTGTTGTTGTCCTTCTTCTTAAGAAAACAATTTTTTCCTAGTTTAAAAATTTTCAACTACCACAAATATTTTCATTTATTTCCATTTGGGATCGTTTTCTAGAAGATGAAGATTGTTCTGAAGGCTGTTGTTGTGTAATAAGCCCAAATTGTTGAATACGTTTTTCCCTTTCCCTTTTTTCCAAAACCTTTTCAATTTTAAAACAATTTTTAAGAGAAAAAATTTTTTTTATCAATTTTACTCTTCTATCTCCAGCCCATAATAATAATTGCATTGCTCGCACAAGCATTTTGGCAATAACTGTAGCCTTTGTAGATAATTGACCGACAACTGGGTGTCTTTTAACCTGTAAGCGAAAAATGTTCATATTTCCGCATAAACATATGAACATTGGGAAAAACATTTGTTTTTGTGTTTTTCCCATAAAACACAAGGGAAAAACATTTGTTTTTAAAGAAGGATTTTAACAAAACAAAGACAAAAACAAATGTTTTTTTAAAAACATTACTGCAGGTTGCTGTTGCAATGAATGTTTTTGTTGTTGTTCTAGCCCAGATAAAGAATGTTTTTGTTGTGTTGGAATGTTTGTTTGTTGTTTTTGTTGGTTTGTTGTTAAATGTTTTTGTTCTTCCAAAGAATGTTCGTTTGAATTAATAGTTGAAGAAACAGCGGAAACAATGTTTGGGACAAAGGCGGAATGGATATTTGGTTGTAATGCTATTGTTGTTGAAGAGGTAGATGTTGTTGCGCGTTCAAACAAAATACATTCCACTAACTGGGAAAACATTCAAAATTAATTCCCTTCGCTATTTTCCACCTGTTTAATCATTTCACACAAACACGGGACTGGATAGGTTATTGTTGCCGCTAAACACAATTCAGAGGCTAATTCACTTTCATCAACAGTTACGATTCTTTGATGATTCATCATTTGACGCATCCAACATTGTAACCAAATGTCCATTCGACCTAATATTTTTTGAATGAAGCTTGATAGAATATAGTAAATTAGATATTGGTCTAAATCAGAAATATAACCCGCCTTAAGGGGGTTTCAGTTATATAGAACAACGGATATAAGGTAGGCAATATATAAATTTGAGGCATCCTTCCTTATAATTGGAGACAAGTTAAAGTGGATTTAATTGATATAAGTAGGGTTGTCAGTTGCCTGGAAAATTTTCGAATATCAGGGACCGAACCGAAAAATCCACGATCCTTCGGTCCGGTTCCGAACCGACGACGCTAGCTATAAAGAAACTAATTAAGAATATAAAAGGTACAGGATTCATTGCAACGGTTGATATGTGCAATAGCATCGGGTGTTGCCCAACTCTGTTGATTTGCGCAGAGGAAAACCTTAAAAAATTCAGAATTAATTTTTTAAATAATTATTTGCCTCCTTCAATCTCTGATTTTCTTCGTTAATTTCCTCAGGGCTAGCCCTTAAAAGACTCATTTTTCTTCCAAAAGGTAATGCAGGTAATGGACGTTGAGCAAATCCAACAAGCCAAGTATATGGATGTTCTTTTTTAATTCTTTGATCAACTATTTGACGAAGAAGACGGCGAGCAATTAAAATTGAATAGCTTAGACTTTGAAGGCTTGAAAAATCATTAAAATTAAAAACTTTTTAGTTAGCGCAAGAGAGTGGAAAACCAAAAGAAGGTCAGTTAAACACAAGGTATTTACTGATTGGAAATAAAGTCGGTCGGTAATAGAAATTCTGTCGAAATAAAAAAATAAATTCCTAAATTTTGGTAATTTCCGAAATGGCAGGATCCTTGGTCTGTAATCTGATAAGGATGCAAATAACATCTTATGGGTCTAAGAGTGGGATATGTATTGCTTTGCACCTTAAGAATCTGCAATTTTCCAACCCCCGAATAAATTAAAGGAATAAAAATTTAATTTTTCAATAGACAGCTCCAAAAAACTTATGTCAAATGCCTTAGCAAACGCTTAAATTTCTATCACTCGGATTAGTCACTCCCCTTGATTAATTATCCCCTCCTCTCCCTCTCTCCTCCGCATCAAAAAAAGGTTGAAGAAATAATTACTAGCCATAAATTATTCACCGTTCTCCATTATCTTTATTGTCCTTTTCGGAAGCCGTTTTTTGCTGTTGAAGTTTAACTTCAAATTCTCTCATTGATCTAGCCATTGCTTGACGAGGAGTATTTCCAATAGTTGGTTGTTGTGCATCTAACCATTGAACAAGACAAAGCCACAAACAACTCATTTGACTGAATGTCCAAAATATGTTATTTATTTCATTTGAATTTGGAGAACCACGTGAAAACTGTTATTTTAAAAAAATTTTAAATTATTTCACTGAAATATCTATTAAGCTATAAATTAAGCCATGGATGAAAAATTTTCCTATTTTATTTAGCTTGTCTTAAAGTGAATTCTTATGCTCCTACTTCATTTTTAAAAGTATTCATTTGAAAATAACGGGCAACTCACTGCCGTGAAAAATTACAAATTCCCGATTTTCAGGAATTTTTGGAAAATTTCTGCATTATTGTTATCCATTGGAGGGGATGCTAAAGACAGGAACAGAAAAGGATTTTACTACATCTTTTTAAAATATTATCACATAAAAATCATTTTTCACCTCTTCCAATAAAAGTTCACCAATTAAAGGGACAGTTTCTATCGTATTGCCAAAATCATTATTTTCCGCTAACCAAAAAGGTTGTTTTTGTGAGCGCATTGCTTGGAATTGGTTACGTTGAAAATTTGAACGGAACTTGAAAATTAAGAAAAAATAAAATAAATTTTTCCAAAAATACAGAGGAATCTGTAGAATCCTCATTTGAAGGCCCCCCTCCTGTCTGTGAAGATAAAACAAAACACATCGATTCACTTTCCTCAATACATTTCTGATAACGTTGTGTCCAACGATAAAATGCGCAGTGTAAACGTCCACCAACTAATTCTTCCAAACGCTAAACAAATTAATTTAATTATCTCAGAATCCTCCAATTAGTACCATATCAGCAAATACATGTTGTATACGTGCCATTAATAAAAATGTTGAATCAAAAATTAACAATCTCCCTTGGGCATTAGTTGTTGCCCCGCTAACATTTTCCCCAGTAATAGGTTGTTGTGCCTGGGCATTTAATGCTGCTAATTTTGAAGAGAATAGAGACAACTCTCCACATGCACAATAAATAGAACAGAGCATATCAATGGGAATTTCACCTTAGATTTTGGTTAGAATAAATAGAAAATACTAATTAATATTTATGAAAAGTTAAATGCTAATTTGTGTATTTTCCGGAAACATTTATGTATCTTCTGGAAAAAATCTAATAAAGAATCAAAATTCTGATTGTCCCGGAAATTTATAATTAGGTTTACGGGTGTACGGCCCGCGCGGCCATAAAGGCGTATAACTTGCTTCAGTCTTTCCGAATCCTATCATATTTAGTATTAAACGATTCCTCTCTCGAGCTAAAGAGATTAGTACCAAAATTGATAAGGATCAGAAATTTTCCAGCTAGTTATGGCTTTGCGCCTACTTGGCCGCGCGCTATCCCAGGTTTCCGGAATATATTTAAATTATTTTTATTTTCCGTATAATTAATTCTAAAAATTCCGGAAAATACTACAAATTCTAATGTTTTACCCACCTAAAGACAAAAGCCTTCTTAAAAGCCTTTCTGTATTTTCAGGTACAAGCGTGTCAATCCCTCTCTTCGCTTTTTGCACCCTCGAAATAAGTTCAGAGCGAACAATCATTTGGCGCTCACCAGCAGGTAATTCTTCGTTTTGTGAACGTTTTAAATCTCTTTAAAATTAATTTTTCTTTAAATTCATTTAATTTTCTTCACCTTTTTTTAGTTAAAAATTCGTGTTCTTTTGAATTAACAACATCCGCCTTTTTCAATCCGTCCAAAAAGAAACGAAAAACATTATCCGATTTTTTATCATCTACTTGATCTAATAGAGAATCACAATTACAAATATTTTCTAAAGCTTTGGAAATTGTTTGGCGTTGAATTCCTCTTAAAATTTGGGGGAAAATTAATTTTTATTATTTCAAAAAAAATAAAAAAAATTTTTTTTGAGTAAACTAGCCTTTGAATTAAACATTTTAGAACCTAAAATAATTTTTCAAAAATATTCAAAAAAAAATTTTTAAAAAATTTTTGCCTGTGGCAATTTAATAAAAACAAAAACGTCGGCCAACGCCTCACGTTCACGTTGTTCTGAACAAATATTGGAAGTTTCTAACTGAAAATAAAAATTAAGGGAAAAATATTCAAAGAAATAGATGCCTGGATTAGAAAACCAGCACGAAGCAAATCTTCAACAATTTGTTCATGTTCCATCCCTAATATATTACCAACAGTTAAAAATGTATCGGCTACCTAATAAAAATAGCATTAAAAAATAAAATTAATATTCCAGGAAAATGTAACAATTCTGGGAAAAAATTAGAAACTTAAGTCTCCAGAATATAAAAATATTAAAACACATTATTGTTTCCCTAGAAAAATCAAATTTATTTCTTGAAAAATTTAAAGTATCCGAAAAATAGATGTCATATAGATAAGATATATCTAGTATTCATACATTTTGAATAATATCCCAAAAACTCGAAATATTTTCAAAAAATACAATAATTCTGAAAAAAAAATACTCGAAAAGAAAATCAGAAAGTCTAAAACACATTATAGGTGTTCCAGTATGAAATCGGAAATTATTTACAGGAAAAATTACTCCTCCCGGAAAATAGAAAAAATACAGAAGGAAAATAATTAACTTAAGTTTCCGAAAAATCAAATTTTAATTTATTTTCACCTCATCTGCAGTTTTAATAACTCTAAAAATTGCAAAAATAGAGCCTAAAGAGAGGAGTGCCGGTCTGTATTTTCTATGAATAAAATCTTCTCTACAAGGTTGCCAATTAGATTTTGGTGGAGTTGAAAATCTCAAAAATACAAAAAAATAAATTTTAAAAATTATTTAAAATTACAAAGGAAATAATTCAATAAGTTGGTCAATTAATTTTAAAAAATTTGAAAGCTTTGAGGAAAACGAGGGTTCTAAAAAGAAGAAAAATTAAAAAAATTATTTTTCAATTCACCTTTAATTTTCTCTTCCTTTTCTTCATCAACCTCCATTTCATCTTCTTTTGAGGTTGACTCCTTTTTTTCATTTAATTCATTTAAATGGTTGGTAATTTTATTTGAAATTATTTGAAGTTTATTAATATTGTTATTGATAGAGGAATTATCTGAAAAATCAGAATTTTAATTTTAAAAATCAGAATATCAAAATTAAATTTTTTTTAAATTAGAATTAAATTTTTAAATTCTGAAATAGAATCAGAATAATTTTAAAATATCAGAAATATCATAAATCAGAATTTTGTCTATAAAATCAGAATTAAATTTTAAAACCTAGAAATGTCAGAAAATCAGAATTTTGTCTAAAAAACCAGAATTAAATCAACATTTAATTTTTAAAAATCAGAATAAAATCAAAATTTTGCTTAATAAAATCAGAATAAAATCAGAATTTTAATTTTTCTAATCAGAATATAATTTTCCCTCACCAGAATGTTCACTGAGAAACGTAAAAATTATAAGTGCTGTAAACGGACGTTCATGCAGATGTTTAATAGCATTAATTCTATTGATAAAAACAAGAGAAAATTCATCAAAATTATTTTCATTCTAACAAAAATAATTAAAAATTATTTTTTTTAAATTAAGTCTAACAATTAATTCAACAATTTTTTCTATTGAATAAATATACCAATCCAATATTTGGGTAATTTGGGTAAATAAAACATTGCTGTTACCCTCATAGACGGCTATTCTGTTGAAATTAAAGTTTTTTTAGTTTTGTTTTTAAAAAATATTTTTTTAATTACAGTCAAAACTCATTTTTAAAATACCATGTTAGAGCTAAAAAGTGGATAACTGACATCCGAAATCGTTAAACTGATATCCGAAACCGTAAACTGACAATCGAGCCAAAAATTCCCGAATACTTTCTCCGGTTGAGGATAATGAAACCGCCAACCCTAAATGGGCGTATCTTAAATGGAAGGTATTTATTAATGTAAAAAATATCTCAAATATATCTTAACTGTTTGGCATGCCCCTTCCTTCTCCAATAAGGTTGGCGGATCCGGATCAGGAATGAGCGCAAGAGACAATCTCAAAAGACGCAAAAAGCAATGCGCTTACCCCTAATCCAGGTATCCGGATTCAAAAAGTTTTTTTTCGTTTCGGATACGGGATATCCAAAAATTTCCAACTATTCGCCAACCTTACTCTCCAACGACTAACCAAATTCATAAAAAAGTATTTTAAATTGGAATAAATTTAAAAAGTGAGGTTTGACTGTATTTAAAATTATCTTAATTTTTCCTCCAACCGTTTATTGTAAATATAAGATTCTAAATCAGAAGCAATTTCTTCTATTTTAATGGGATGAGTCCAACAATCAAAAGTTGTCTTAAAAAATTTTTTTTAATTTTTAAAAATAATTTTTAAAATTACAAGAATTGTTAAATATTTTTGTGGTTGAATTAATCCATGAACAAACAAAATTTTTAAATAAGCAAGTGCCAATGGAAAAATATCAGTTTCTTCGGGAAATGCAGAAGCGTAATTGTTAGCGATTTGTAGAACACGTTCTTAAAAATTTTTTTGAAATTTTATTTTTTAAACAGAGTTATTCAGAATGAGTCGATCTTCCCATAACATGTATACTCCATACTAAACACACCTCCACTCCAATTGAAGGACCTTTAAAAAATGGTTGGTCATAGAGTTGGGAGTGGAGGAGGGATCCTCCCAAGCAGTACTTCCTAAGAGACCCTTCTTACTAGAGAGGTGTCTTTTATAAAATTTCCCACAAAAGAGGACCTTACAATGAGGTATGAATAAAATTTCCTTGAAATTTTTCCATAATCTACAGGTGTCTAAAATAATCTGAGAGGTGTCTAAATAAACTTACCCTCCAATTGAAGGACCTTTAAAAAATGGCTGGTCAGAGTTAGGAGTGGATGAGGGACCCTCCCAAGCAGTACTCCCTCTTTAAGAGGCACTTCCTTATTAGAGAGGTGTCTTTTATAAAATTTCTCCCAAACCTTACAATGAGTTATGAGTAAAATTTTCTTTAAATTTCTAAAAAGAACCCGGAAACTGCCCATTTTCTTCTATAATCATTCGACATGCTTCCTCAAAGAATTCATTAGGCTCTAAACGTTGGGAAAGACAATTACGAAGGAGAGCATCTAATTGTTGTGAATTATTTGTAGTGGAGGAAACAACCATTTTAGAAAACTATAATTTCTAGAATTAATCTAAAATTAGATTTTTAAAAATAAAAAAAGTAATTAAATTTAAAATTAAATGGAAAAATAACAAGAAAAACTTTTTTTTTCAATTTTTATCGAAAAATCTGGAGAGGAGGGACAATACAAAAAAAAGTCGGGTAGTTTGATAAATAAATAAATATTGAGGGGGTCAAAAAAACAACAAAAATGAAATTAGGAGACAGTTTGATAAAGGAATAAATTTCAAAGAAAGAAAATTTTTAAAGAAAGTTTTTTGAGAAAGGCAGAATTTCTTAAAATTATTTAAAAAATATTTACAGTTCAATCTGATTGTTAAATACCACGGAGGGTGAAACGGTCGTCTTTGTAATTAGGGATATTTTAAATTGAGGACTTGAAGCCCTATAACTTTTTAATTTAGGGGTCAGGGCAAAAAAGCCAAAAATTGGCAACAGTAAATCGACCTTGCTCTACACAATGGTGTGTGTTACATTGTAAAATTTTTGGTGATAATTCGGCATGGTTCCCTGTTAGAAATTTCCCCTACTTCATGACTAACTAAATTAAAAAAAAAAATATTTTTAAATTAATGGTCTTTTTATTATTTGGTATATGTTTTGAGGTCCAAATTTCAAAGAAAAAATAGTATTTTCAAAAAAATTCTGCCTTCCTCAACAATTATTTTTCAAAAAATTATGCACGCAAAAATAACAAATTTTATATTACCCATTCAAATGCACATTTATTTTTAAACCAAAATTATTTTTAATTTCAATTTTCCCCCTTTCTTGCACGTGCCAAAACTTCAAGTGAATGCCACAAAGTTCCATGATTTGTAAAAAATTCACTAGAATTTAATAAAGATATTTTATTACGGAATGGTTCCATTGACGAGAAAAAATTTGCTCGGGCAGAGTTGACGATTAATTCCAAAATTCGTGATTGAGCAATTATAGATAATGAATCGATACTTAAAAATAAGGGAAATTAATTTTAAAATAGAAAATAAAGGAAAATAATTTAAAAATTTTTAAAAATATTTTTAAAAAAAGCTTATGTTTAATGTTCTCACGAAGGAAAAAATTTCAAAAAATTTTTAAAAATAAACAAAACATTATGGAGTCGGACCATCATAATAATACCTTCATGTGCACCAGGAAAAGGTTTATTACTAGTGTTTCGCCGGAACCGAAAATTTGGCCAGAACAGGAACTGAAGGGCCTGAACCGGAACCAAAAAATCCCAGAACTTCCGGCCTACCGGAACCGAAACCTTCAGCAAAACACTATTTAGTACCGATTGACAAAATCGGGAATTTATTTTTCATTCATTCACGTTCCCTGATTTACCCCAAACAATTAATTATAGAATAATAAGTAAAAACTTTTTTCTCAAACCTTTGAAATATTTCAGGCAAACAATTAACTATAGGCTGTTGAAATGTTTGTTGTGAATTATTTGGAGTGGCGAGTTGTGGACGTTTTTGTTGCTTTAAAAAATTAATTTTTATTTCAAAAATAATTTAAAAAATACTTGTGTAGGTGTAAATCCATACCTCCAAGCAGTTATTATTTTTATTAAGATATAATGTAATCTATAATGGTTATCATCGTTCTCTTTTGAGGCTATAGGAGAGCAATCATAACGAACAAGTAAATCAAATTTCTTTAAAAAAATTTTAAAAATATTTTTAGGTTTTATAAGTGGGGTGTTAATAAAAATTGTGGACATTTGAAGAATAAAATTATTCAAAAGTTAGACATCTTAAATTGGATGACCCATCTCATTTTGGATGATCCATCCATCTCTTTTTCTAAATTCACTTGTCAAATTTATTTACAACAATTATTCTCTATACAGCCCTCACAATTAGAATACCCCCTATATTAGATAAACCTCAGATTTTTGATTTGGTATGTCACTGGGTGTGTGTAGGGGAGTGAAGAGTTTCCAAACTCATAACCCTCTTTAGGACTTTCTCATTATAAAATATAATCTTTTAACCACAAGTGTTTATCTTATATAGGGTTGGGGGCCCGGTCCGGTCCAAAAGATCAAGTCGTGCAATGAAGTTGGGCCCGAAAAAGCCCTCGCCGAAGAAGCCCCCCCCCGGTCCAGCCGGCCCGATAAAAATGAAGCCCGAAAAAATGACTAGAACGTTGGCCCTACTCGAAAACGGCAACTCTAACCTTATAAAGAGATCAGAATAAATAATACTCAAAAATTGCTTTTAAATTTTACCTGCCCACAAAAAGGAAGACTCAAATGCGTACAAAAACTTAAATAACGCAAAAATTGATCAACACGGTGACATAACCATTCACCAATAATTAAAGCCATAACTGGACCTAACGTTTCTTTGCTTATTGCAAAGACGATAAAGTTAGCACAAAATTCAAAAGAATAATTAACAATTGGGAGTAAATGTTCGTACTGAAAAAATAAAAATTTTTAAAATTTTAGGGATTAAATGAGTTGGGGAGTTGCCTAATAAGCGATACCATCAATTTGAGATACAACTCATTATGAATTACAGAGTCTGTTCGTACAGAAAAAAGAAAAGATTAAGCTAAAAATTAAAAAATTTTGGGATTAAATGTCACTAAATTAGCGGGGAATTGCCTAACAATGAGCGACTTTTTCAGTCTAAATAAAATATCATACCAAATTATATTTTTCGGGACCAAAAATAAAACCTTCCACCAATTCAGAAACAATTTGTTCAGCATAACTACGTTTTAATTCATCACTGGTTACCTTGAATGAAATGGTAAATAATTTTTTAATTTAAATAATTTTTTTGATTTTCAGTTACAAGAGACCATACTACCAAACTTTTGCCAAAAAAAACTTTGGAGGGCCATATCCTAGCCAGATCAAAAAACGGGCAAAAACGGCACAAAATCCTTGCTAGAAAAAGCACATTCTCTATCGAATGAGACCGGTCTCGACAGTCTTTAGGTCGGACACCTTGCAACCTTCCCTTGTAAAGGACTTGTCTTACTATTCTAAAGTGTCAACTCTTCATTTTATAATTAAGAATGGTCTCTCCTAATTTTATGACTAAAAATCTAAATTAAAAATTTCTTTAAAAAATACTTTTCCAAGCCATTGGCCAACATGGTCAAACAATCCATACACAGGAAATTGGGCAGCTAGTGAACAAATTTTGATCAGAAATTGAACACGAGCTTCGTGAAGTAAAGGCTATAAAAAAGGAGGGAATAATAAAAATAATTTTCGAAAAATAAAACCTCTCCCTCACGACCACAAAAAATAATATCAAAATGTAAATAACGAAGTTTTGGATCGGCTTCTTTTGAGACTTCCTGAATAAATTTGAATAAGAGTGGAATATAAATTTATAAAAATCACAAGGAAGTAATAAAGGGAAAACGAAAGGAATCGAACTGACGTCTCCGATATGTCATCAAGAGCAGGCCAATTTACCACAAAACAGGCCCATAACCAGGATTTTTCAGAGAAGGGGGCCAAGAAGGGGAAATTTTTCTGCGCCGAATTTTTGGCGTCGAAAGCCCAGAAATTTTGATTTTTGTCGCCGAGTCGAAAATTTTAAAAAATTTGGAAGGCCGTAGGTAATCTTTCTCACTAAAACCTCCCTCAAATAAAAATTAAAAAACAACCTTATCAAAATAATTACAAACAATTCCCAACAATTTAAAACTTTGTAAAGGATTGAGACGAGAATTTCTCAAGTCTGTAGACAAACAAAAAAGATCTTGATCCAACAAATTTTGTAATTCTTTTATTTTTACACGATTCCAGCTTTTATTTGGAAATTGGCCGTGTTGTTTGACAAAATCGCCGACCTAAAAATGAAATTGAAAATCCTCAAAACTATTAGAAAGAGCTCTTAAAGTTGAGTCAAACACAACAAAAAATAAGAGAAAATCAAAATTCAATGACCAATTTATCCAAACAAAAACAGGGAATTTTCAAGTTTATAGGTCCTATATTTATGGGTCCAAAAAAAGAGAAAAAACATGAAATCTCTACATAATATACAAAAAGGATGAGATTTCAGGTACTCAACTCATACAAAGCCCTTTCAAATGAGTTAATATTTAATAATAAAAAATACATGAACAAGAACATCATTTGCACACTGCGGAAAAATAGCCTGTTTATTCCCAGGAGGTATTTGTTGCTGCGGTTGTTGTTGAGGAATAGAAGGACCAGGAGGAATTTGTTTAGGATGTGGCAAACGCTGTTAAAGATTTAAGATTTAAAAAATAAAAAGAAAATAACAAATGTAGGGGAAAGTATAATAAATTATATAGTAGGGGAAATTTTTTTAAAAACCCCCAAGATTTAAAGAATAATAAGTCGTCAAGGCCCTCAAGTAAAATATCAAAAAAACATCCGCTCAAAAACAGATGGTTTTCAAACAATAAGCTTCGAAAGTTTGACAATTCGTAATATGAATTTCACAGGATTCACGAACCCTATTTCTGAGCAGGACCAAAGTTGATCAAAAACATAGGTTCCCTTCTCGGAAGCGAAAATTAGCTAAATTATCAATTCATTGGACTTTCTCAAATTTATTTAAAAAAATTTAAATTATTCTAAAAAATTTTTCCTACAAATACCCCCATAATTTCCAAAAAATATTCAAAAAAAATACATGTTGAACTTGCCCAACCCCTCTATGTTGTTGTTGATGCTGCAAATGATGTCTCGGTTGATGCATTAAATGAGGCCTTTTCATTGGAGGTCTACCAGAATTATTTGAATTATTTCCGTGCATATTTTGACAATTTGAAAGTGGTGGAGGTTGAAAAAGTTGAGAATTCAAAGGCTTTGGCTGATTATTTTGAAAGAAACATTTTTGCTGAAAAAATAAATGAAAAAATAAAAAATCGGTAATGAAATCCCTAAGGCTCTATTTCAGATAGGGCTTAATTCAAAGAGGTCTAATTTAGTAAATACCGTCATTTACTGGGGACACGCCCAAAACGGCGCTCGGCCATAACGGCGTAAAGCCATAGCTTGCTTCAAAATAACTAATTTTAATAGATTTAGTATCAAACGATTCCTCTGATCAAACTATGTAGGTAATTTGTACCAAAATTGACAAGGGCCAGACATTTTTCAGCAAGTTATGGCTTTACGCCGTTATGACCGCGCACCGTTTTGGGCTGTACTCCATCTACTGGCCATAAGATCAAAAAAGAAAAACCTGAAAACTCGGTTGTTGAAACAAAACTTGTTTTGTGTTTGTAGAAGCACAAATTTGTTTGGCAATATTTTCTTGACTTAAAGAAGCCAGGGAATCGATCTTTTGGTTTTGTTGTTTATTCAGATTTAATTCAATATTATTAATTGATGGAAGCAAAATTTCATCCAGTTTAATTTCTTCTAATTTTTGTTGCGCCTCAATGACTTTTGGTTTTTCTTCAATATGATATTTGTATCTTTTTCGTTTTTTAAATTTTGAGGGTCGGCTAGTTGTTGGAGAATTAGAGTTACTAGCAAGTCTGAAAAAAATTTTTTTTAATCATAAAAAATTTTTTAAAAATTTTTTTGAAAAAAACACAACGCCAAAAAATATTTTTTTGAGAAAAATCGAAGGATAGAGTAAAGGAAAAGAATAAAAATTATTTCAACATTTTTACAATAACCAAAAATTTATTTTTGTAAATTTTATTAATGTAAATTCCGATACATATTTTTAGAAAATAAAATAATGAATTAAAATTAAAAAAAGATTACTTTCGAAACAAAAGAAAGTTAAAAACTTCTTTCCGAGGCATTTTAAGACCAAAAAAAATTCTGATTTTTCATAAAACAAATTTCTGATATTTCTAAAAATTCTAATCCTTTCTGAGTGGACAATTTCGAATAAATCAGAAAATATTCCGGAGAAACCAGGGTTCCCCTAATTTTCTTCCCAGTTTTTTCCTTATTTTGTACAGAATGGTCAGACTCTCTTCCTCAATTTCTCTTCATTTCCCCGTGGCATATTCAATAAAGAAAAGATTAAATTAATGAGGGAAGAGAGGCTGGCTATTCTTCACAAAATAAGGAAAAACCTTGAAACTTGGGGAATAAAAAAAGTGGAACCCTTAGTCTACCCAATATTCTGAAAAAATCTAAAGAAAATTCTGACTTTACAAATACATTTCTAAAAATCTCTAGTTTACTTTCAAAAATAATATTTACTTTTCTTATTTTTAATTAGACAAATAAAAAAATATTTTTTCTAACCTCTCACTTTCCATTTCCATCAAACGCTTTCTAGCAGCATAACTCCTCGTATTTGGCATTTAAAGTTTTCTACTAATCTAAAAATTAATTTTAAAAATAAAAATATTTTTTTTAATTATTTAAAGCGAGGTTTCATTTTAAAAATTAACTAAAAAATTTCTTTTCAATGCCTATAAACTAAACAAAAAGTTGGAAATGATGAAGTGATGTTTGTGATCTTCTCAATATATTTTTTGGAATCCTCAAATGCAGGTCTTCAAAATTTTTAATTCGTTACAAAAAGAAACAAACATCGACCGACCCTACAATAGATCAAACATTGAAAATTTTCTTAAAAAATTAGATTCATCCAATCCAATTTTAAAAGGAAACAAAGGTATGTTACTAGATTTTATAGGAAATTGCTGGATAATTTTTCGACCTTCGTTAAGTAAACCGCCACATGTTAAAGTTTTCTAATAGCAAATAAAATTACAAAAGTCCATCCAACTTTTCAAAATTCTGATTACCTAGTCAATTTCTTATTGCCAATTTTAAACAAAAATTGGCAATAGGAAATTGACTAACATAAGTAATTTTTTCGGTTTCCTATTGCTTTTTGCCAATTTTAAACAGAAAACTGGCAAAAAGAAGCAATAGGAAATTGAAAAAACTTTTTAAAGATTATTTAAAAATCAATTTTAAAAAATTGTCTTAATTTAAAAAATAAAAGGTTAAAATAACCATAAAAATTGATTTAAAATAATAAACAAAAATACCTCACATTTATTCTTAATAATTAAAAAAATTAGGATAAAATTCGGAGAAAAATAAAATAATAAACGGTGTTTGTGTGTGTGTGCAGATTCTAAGGATAACAATCAAAAAAAATAATAGTTGGTACTTTTAGGAGGGTGTGTATTAGAGATCGGTATTTTCAAGAAGTCTGGATCTGGATTTAGGTTAGTAACCTGGACAGGATTCTGGATCCAGAGAAAATCCAGGACGACAAAAATGCCTGGATCTGGACTCTGGATTCAGACCGATCTCTAGCGAGTATATATTTTCTAAAAAAAATTTTTCAAGATCATTATAGAAGGAGATCGTCAAAAAAGTCGGAAACCCTAAAAACAAACGTATCTTTTTCTGACCAAAAGTCAACTCTCTTACTTGTACCAACCAAAAATAGTCAAACATAATTTTTTAAATCATTATAAATATTTATTTTTAGAATTGAATCATCCACCTCCTCCTCCCCCACTACCACCATTATTATTACCTCCACTTACACCGCTACTACTACTTCCATCAAATCCTCCACCACTACTTCCACCACCTCTCCATCCACCTCTATTAACAAAACCTCTTCCTCCGCCTCTTCCTCTTCCAGGAAATCTACCACCGCCAGGAAATCTACCTCCATGAAATGGTGCTCTAAATCTTTGTTGATTAAATCGAATTTGTTGATTTGATGGATTCAACATATGTGGAGGTGGCATTTGAATTGCCTGAAGAAGTACAAGGGTATTTTAATTTAATAATTAAAAAAAATTTTTTCAAACCTGATTTGGAAATACTGGAGGAAATTGTGTAGTTGTTGTATTTAATGGATTACTATTATTATTGTTTTCATTATTATTAGATTGTGTAGAATCTGTTGCTGTATTTTGTTGAGGAAGGTTTTGGTTGTTTGCTTGCTGTTGTTGTTGAAATGCCATTAAACCAGAAGCAGCTGCAGCCATTTGAGGAAACATTGCAGCGGTTAAAGCAGCAGGCTAATTATATTATTAAAAAATATATTCTTTCGATTAATAAAGAGGGAAAACAAAATGTATGAAAAGAAACACAATAAAAATAAAGATATAATACTTGCGGGCCGAAATTTGCGAATACTAATTTTTTGATTCATAACCTATTTAACTGTGAAAACTATGCAAACAAAGTTGTAATAAATAGGCATTTATCCACAAATATCGGTCCGCAAATGTGAGTGAACCCCAAAGATATGGATTTTGGAAACCGAAAAGAAAATGAGTGATAATTAAAAATTTTAAAGAAAATAATTTTTAAAGGTGCTAACTAAAAAATGGCTTCGAAAAATAAAAAAATGCATATGGAAATTACCTCGAATAAAAGGTAGGAAAAATTAAAAAGATTAATTAATTTTAAGTAATTAAAAAGTTTTTTACCAAGATAAAATTCAATGTTTATTTTAAAAACTTTAAAAAAAACGTACAAACGTAAAACCAGGCATTAATTGCGCAGCTGTGGCAGGTAATCCAGTTGTCATTTGTGGAGGCAATAGTGTTAGTCCTGCTGGTGGCAATTGAATTGCTTGTAATTGTTGTTGTGCTTGTTTAATTCCAGTGTTTGTATAACGATCTTAAAATTTAGAAAAAAATTTTAAAAACGTAAAAATACCACCACTACAACCAATTAAGAGATAAGAAAAAATAAAAGAAAATATCCCTTCGATATTTTTCCCGACTTCAAAAAATTTACTGATCCCAAACAGTTTCATCTTCTGACGGTTCAGATTGTGATGGAGGTTGGTTTCTGGAAAGGACTGTGGAAGGAGCCCTTTTTAAGTAGAAAGATAAAGTCAGGAAATGAACCGAGGACCAAAATTCTCGCCTAATTATAGTAATATAAAAAAATAAAACAAAAACCTTTCAATAATTCAGGTAAAGTATATAATTCTAACCAAGCTCCTTCCATTAATTTATCCAAATTTCCATCAGGTAAAATTGAAAAAGGAATTTCAGCAAAACCAAGTCCCAAATCCCATTTGTCCATAAATTTTTGTTCTTCTTTAATGCTTGGAATTGTTGCCCAAGCAAGCTTTTAAAAAATTTTTAATATTAAAAAATCAAATAAAAAACCTTTATATTCTTCTTTAAAACTTGAATTGTTTTCCCCATTCTATCAATAATTTTAAAAGCCAATTTTCTGTCAGGCATTGTCACATAAGCACAACCACGTGTATTAACAATGATTATTTTTTCTGGTGTTCCAATTTCTTTTACAGATTCAATAATATCATTTTCATTAGCTGATGTAGGAATACGGCCAAACCATAAAGTTCGAGATGCAACTAACAAAATAAGTTTTTCAAGAAAATTAATTTTTTTATTAAATTTTTAAATATTGTTTCAGTTAAGGTTATTTTTTAAAGGGAAGGTTATTGTTTCACATGGATTCTTAACTAGTAGATACATATATTGGGGAATATTATGGAAAATCACTATAACCCGCAATAAATCCCTATTCACAGTTAATCCCTTCCCCTCGAAAACTATTCATTTTTAAAGCGGACTAAACTCATCGAGTCTTTTTTATTAAAATAAAAATCCTTACTGAGAACGTGTTCAAATTTCAGTTTTTCGGGTAATCCCATACGTCTACGATCTCTCATCATTTGTTCACGATCCTTTTCTTTGTCGCTATTGCGTTCACGATCATCTGAAAAATATTGCTTTTTAAATAAATTCAGAAAAAATACTTTTTCTTGGTGATGTGCTTCGAGTTCTTTTATGTGAGGATCTTTCAGATCTTTCATCATTCTCTCGTCTTCGATGAGATGATGATTTTTCGTCATGTCGTGTTGAATCATTATCACGTCTAGAACTGCGACTTTTTTCATCAACTGGTGACCTGTTTAAAAATTTAAAAAATTAGTTATTCATCCTTGTGTTATCCCCAAGTATACTCTATCTTTAGTCTAATCATTAAACCCCTTCCCTATTCCCTTACCATCGACTCCGTTTCCGTGAAGACCCACTAGCGCGGCTGTCCCTTCTGTCACCTCTAGAATAATCGTTTCGATCATTGCGGTAGTTTTCAGCTTCTTTTCTATCGTCCCGGTGCGTTTGTTGTTGTTGTTGTGGAAATTGCTGCGTTGACATCGGAAACATTGAAGTCGGTGTAGTTAGCTGAAAATTGGCAATAGACGAAGTTGGAGGCTTTAAAAAAAGAAAAATTTCTAAATAAAAATATTTTTATAAAACCTGTAGAAATAAACCAGGAAAAAGAGTTCCGTTTGAAAAGCTTGGTGGTGGAAAAGAAAAGTTAGGCATTGGAAAAGTCAATGGTTGTTGTAGTTGTTGTTGAGGAAGGGCCATTTTTGCAGCCGGTGAACCAATGCCAACATCTTTGTTTACACAAGCCACCAATTTTCTCATTTCTTTAAAAATTATTTTTCAGATTTGACAAAAACAAAAAATGATTTTATAGAATAATTACTATTAATTTAAAAAATTTTTTGAATCCTTTTAAAAATTTAAACGGAAAAGTCGAGAGAAGATTCTTTGAAAATAAGAATTTTCAGCCCCGTGACTTTACTATTAATAAGGAAATCCGTGGACTGTTTTAAAGTGTGTTAAATAGAAGAATTGAATAAAAATAAATGGTCTTGTTCCGTTAAAATCTCACGAAACCTCAAACAAATATGAGGGACTCACAAAATGTGAGAAAATCTGTTAACAATATTTGACCCACCCTTCTAGAATGAGAAGTTATAAAGTTCAAGGTTTTAGCTCTACTCAGAGTTTGTGAATGTCACTGCTAATAGTAAAAATAAAAAAACCTTCTTGATGTGCCGGTTCAGCAACTACTGATCTTGCAAGATTTAAAAGTTTTTCTTTAGAAACACTTGAAAGGGTTATGGGTGACCCTGTCGATGTGTGTGTGCCATTGTGATGATGACCACCTCCACCGCCTTCATCCTCTTCATCGGAATAGTCAAAATCGCGAGACAGGAGATTCTTTAAAATAAAGAAAATTTTTTGCTCAAAAAAATTTATGAAATTACAAAAAATCAAAAGGAAATATTATAAAGGATAACGAGGCCTTAAGACTGAAGTAAATAGAAATAGTTAAGGAATCCTAATTTTAGAGCAAAATCTGTTGAAAAATGCTTGACAATCCTTGGTTATCAAAAAAGGTCTTTTGTAAATTTCCAGATTAAAAATTTCCAAACCTTAATATTTCCTTGTCTCCTCTTTTCCATTTCAATTTGTTCAATAACTCTTTCTTCCAAAAATCTTTGTAAACCAGCTACGACCTCTACATGATCCAAAGAAAATCCCAAAGGTTGAACTAATGAAATTACTTCAGCACCACTTAATCCACTTCCAGAATTATTATTAGCTGGAGGAAGTTGAATTGGGGTAGAAGGTTCTTTTTTTGTGTCAGAAAAGAGTGAAGAAAGTAGTTGACGATGATCATGGTCTTCTAATGGAGGAGTACGAGGCTTAGAAAAGAAATGAAAAAATTATTGAAATTGTGTTAAACAAGTAAAAAGGAAAATTCAAAGGGGGTTAACACCCCACCATCGGCTTTTAGTGGATTTTAGCGTGAAGGCTCAATGGTAACGGTCGGTTAACTGAACCGAAACCAATGTTATGGCAATTAGCCGAAATCGAGGGTCCATCAAAATCGAAAACCAAAAAATAATATTTGCTTATAACAGCTTCATTTATTAACAATCTTCACAAAATTTTAATTAACTTAAAAAAATTTTAAATACCCCCAATTCAGTTTTTAGCGTTGTACTGCTTGTAACTGAATTTGAACGTCCACCGATACCAAGTTTTTGACGAGAGAATTGCGAGAGACGTTCCTAAAAATATTTTTAAAAAATTATGAAGAGGAAAAAATTGAAAGTTAAAATCACAAAATTAATATCTTTGTCCACTCTATAAAACCCAGTCTAAAAATTGTTTGGAAAACTAAAATTTTAATCAAAATAAAAAAAACAAACATCTAAACTCTGCCCAGAAGCTGAAACATTCACTGGATTTATATTGCCTATATGTGGCGTTAAAATTTTTGAAGTTGGCGCAGTTTCAGATTTGATTGAATTGCCGCTTGTATTGAATAAATTTGATTGTTGATAAAGTTGCATATCTGCTTTTTCACCTTTAAAAAATTTTTTAGTAAAAGACACACAAAATGCAGTTAGACCTAGGTATTAAACTAACAATAAAAAGGATTCCGAAAAAGTTTCAGGATCAGATTTTAAATTTTAATAGAGCAAACATTCCCTTTACCTATCCTTTTTAGAATTTAAACTCATCGGAATTGAGATTGCAAAAGAAAAAAATTAAATAAAAAAAAGTAAACCTTTAACTAAGCGCTCGACTTTTGCTGGTTCAACGTCTAAATTAGAAAAAAGTTTTAAAAAAATAAATAAAATCAAAACCTAAGCCAGATGCTTGACATTTATTTAATATTGGTTCAATTACTTCATCAGCAAAAATTTGATGAGCTTGCCATAAATTAACAACACGAACAACTTTCAACTGAAAAATTGAAGAATATTTAGGAGATCTATTAAAAAAACAAATAGAAAAAGGAAAAAATAAATTGTGAATAACCTCAAATTGGCCAGTCTTCGACCAAAACAAAAAAAAAACTAGGGAAAATTTTCTAAACCAAAAAGTTTTCAAATAAGGCCAAAAACTAAAGAAAAATGGCCGCTTTTCAGTACAAATTATTCCATTTTTCTAAAATAACTCGCAAAAAACTATCAGAAAATCCCCGAAAACTATTTCATTTTTGCAAAATTTAAAGAAAAAATTTAAAAAATACTCGGTCCGTAGGATCACAATCGAGCACATTATTAATCGTGGTAGACAAATTAACAGCAAATCTGGGTGCAAAAACATCTAAAAATTAAACTTTTTAAAAGTTTAGAATAACCCAAAAAACCTTTGTGTTTATATTGCTTTTTTGCTTGACGTAAAATTGAATCCATAACATATAAAGCGGGGATTTTGAATTCTTGGCGACACTAAAAAATAAATTTTATTAAAATTTAATAATACTAACAAAGGAATTTAATGGGAACAACTTAAAGATTAATAGCCAGAGAACCTTGTTAAAACACAAAAGGCGCAGAATTTGCGGATTATATTTGCGGACAAAATTTTTAGTTAAAATATCAAACGATATCTCAAAAAGTACCCAGACTAGAAAAATTTTTAAGTATCATAAGTTTCCCCTAGCCTCCTAAAATTTTGCTAGATGCAGTGAATTCAAAAACTAGTCCAAGCTCACGAACTTTAATGATCTCGATTTTTATCAAAGAACACTTAACAACTAAAAATTTTATAACATTAACAGACTCAGTTTTAACTAGTCTAATCAAAAAACTAGCAAAAACGCCAACTCTTCCAAAAAAATTTCCCAAAAATTTTTTTCCGTTTACCTTAACCAAATATCGTTCAACAATAAAAACAACATGTTTAAAATATCTGACAGCATTCATTGCAGCCTTTGTAATATCAACAACTTTTTGTTTGCTAACAATACCTCCCTTACATTCTTGCATTGAAACAAGCTTTAAAAATAAAATTTTGTAAATTTCTTTAGTAATTTAGGTATACCAATTTATTAAAAGCCTTAATTACGTCTGAATCCATTGAAAAATTTTTCTAATTAAAAAATATGAGTCTTACAGACTAACTGAAAATGAAGAAAAAAAATAAAAAAAATTTACAGAAAAACCGTAAACCAAGAAATTTTTTCCGAAAAACGTAAAAATAAATTCATTTCGCCAAATTAATAATGCCAAAAAACACTTCGCCAAACAAAATTTCGCCAAACCATACAAAAATAAATCAATCGCTACGTCTCATTTGGTCCATCTGGATTCATTCTGGATTCATTCCACTGAACAAAACTTATCAATATGTCTTCCTAAATTAATAGGCCCCCTTTGGATAAACTTAATTAGCAGAGTTCGACGATTGCTCTTTTTGTGATAAAATATTGTCTGATATTTTATTATTCTTGATCTGTTTAATTTTAGAGACCTCCTATATAGAGGTCTTTCATGAGATTTTACGATGAAAATATCACTTTTATTTTTAATTTAAGTGAGACGAAATGAGTTTTTTTAGTCTATTGGACAATTTTAATGTGAGACGAATTGCGAGTATATCTTTTTTATATTTAAGCGGGGTTTTTCGAATGTGAATGAGTTTGAAATTTTTGAATAAAAAACAACTTTTTGATCAATAATTTTAATTTCATTTAATTTAGAGTTTATATTTGACAAAAAATATTTTATTTTCTGTTACTCTTATTCAATTTTCTGTTACTTTTCTTTTCAAATGTCTTCTAAATTAGAAAAAAATGCTGATAATTCAACAACTTCAAATTCTTCTGATGATATTTCTGCTTCAAATCCTAAACAAAATAAGCGTAAACGAACGCTGGAGGTTAATTTTAAAAACTTTAATTTTTTGGATAATTCTTTGGTTGACGCCCCCATTTTTTTGTTCCCCTGACCATTTTGAGCTTTTTTGCTTGCCATATAATTCATTATATATCATTCGGAAGAGCTGTCTGAGCTGGGTAGAATGATACTATGATTGGTTAGATTTGGCAATTTTGAACGAAATTATTAGGCAAATCCTCTTGGACATGCTTTTTGTGATGTTGAAAGGGATTAAAACAAATGGTCATAACTATGTTTATTTAAGTCAGATTTCGATGATTTTAGGGCCTTCGACTCAGCTCGAAGAGCTCTTTCAAATGTATATATTATTCATAGAAAATGAGAAAATAGGGTACTTGTGGGTTATCTCATACCAGTTTTTGCGGACATTTTTGTAAAGAATGGTCAGTCTTTCTATCTTCCTCGGTTTCACTCAATTTTCTCTGTAGCAACATTCAATGAGTGAGTGACATTAACGAGGAAAAGATTAGTTTTTCTTTCCAATGTCACCAAACCTCGAGCGGAGTAAAAACGTACCCAGCTCTGCATTTTAGAACCCATGCCCACAAGTACCGAAAATAGAACATAAAAGAGGGGGGGGGGCGTCAGCAGAAGAATTACCATTTTTTGAATTATTAAAAGTTTTTAGTTGGAGATGGAGCAAGCAAATGTGGAAATGAAGTTAATTAGGGATAAAGTTGATTTGGTATATTTTTTAAAAACTATATAATATAATTTAAATAAAATTTTAATTTTTAGCAAAATTCGTTTAAAGAGGAAATTAATAAAAATGAAAAGCTTGCTGAAGAATTGGAGAAATTAAATATTGAAAAAGAAGAATACAAAAAAAGAAGTGAATTATATTTGGAGGAAATGGATCAACTTAGAAAGGGTTATTTAAAAATAGGGAACGAATTAAATAAATTGAAGGAAGACTCGGAAAATTCATCCAAAGCAGTGTTAAATGAGAAAAATGAATTGGCTAAAAAATTGGAGAAAATAACTAAAGAAAATTTAAAATTGAGAGAAGAAAAACATTTCAATTTGAAGGAATTGGAGAATTACAGAAATGCTTGTCAGTTGCCGACAGACGAGAAAGCTGTTTTGCTTCGACAAAATAATCAGTTATCTCTTGAATTACAACGGGCAAATTCTGAATTGACAAAGTGTAGAAATGAGCTTGCTTTGAATTTGAAACTTGTTGTAAGTTTGATTTTTTTGTATGTAGAAGAAATAAAATAATCGCCGGGTTTGTAAGTCGGGTTTGTATATCCCCTTTTCTCATTTTTCCATCTTTCTAGAAAATAGGGAATATTTTGGTGTCGCCCCATTCTTTTTCTATTTTTTATCATTTTAAGATAAATTATATATCATTTGAAAGAGCTCATTGAACTGTGACGAATGACATCAAAATCAATGAAATCATTCGCTTTAATTCCATGTAGCGAGTCAAAAGTTTTTTTAGCGAGGATTTAGCTTCATAACTTTGTTTAAATTTGTTGGGTATGTGCTTAGTATAAAAGGCTACGGCTTTAGCCATTCGGGGGTTAGTGTTATTCTTAGTCTTATTCTAGTGCTCCACATATTCGGCATTGGCCATATTCCTATTGTTCGCTACTATTGTATTTAGTCTTGTAGATAAAACACAGTCGTTAGTTACTGTCTTATCTTGTTATTCTTGTTAGTACGTAGACATAGAAGTCACGTACATAACAGTGGCGCGGTCGACTTTATTCGAACAATCGACAATTGTATTCGAACAGTTGTATTCGGACAGTTTTATTCGGATAGTCGTATTCGGATATCCAATTCTTTATTCAGTAATTCGTGATTCAGTAATTCAGTATTCAAGTTATTCAATTCAAGATGATAGATGAAAAGTTTGTGAAGATTTTCAAAGCTCAGACGGAGCATATTAGTCAGCAGTTTATTCTATTATTCAAAGGATTGTGCGAGATCAATCCTAAATTCGGAGATTCAAACGGAAAAGAGTCAGCGGAATTGTATGATAAATTACAATCGCTATTCGAAGAAGTCAGGATTCTAGCATTCGTTGCAGCTATTCCGGAAGAAATGAAAGATATGCGAGAGATTAGTCGTAAATTCGTGGAGCGCTATTCGAGGCCAGACGAGTGTAGTCTGATGATTCTATTGGAGGAATGCTGCAGATATTCAGAAAAGAAGGATGAGGATAAGACGTTCGACAGTCATTCAAAGGTCAAGATAGAACCTGAGAATTATGTGAATAATGTTAGTCGAGTCGAACATATTCGGACTAGTCAATTCGGAAATTTGAGAAATAATTCAGGGCAACGAAAAGGCCAATTCAAGATTCGAGATTCACGTCAGTGTTACAAGTGTGGCATGATTGGACATATTAGTAGAGACTGCCGGGAACCAAAGAAAAGGTTGAGCCAAGGCAAAGGTCCAGAAGTCAATCATGTGAAAGTAGATTCTAGTTATTCAAGACCACATTGTCTGACGGTAGAAATTCCGGAGTTAGATTCTAGTCAAAATAGTCGGAGTAGTATTCAAAAAGGCAGGAAGCCAAGTATTCGGAAAAACAATAAAATTCGGAAAAGTCAAGATTCGAGAAATTCAGATTATTCAAAAGATTCTAATTATTCGGGAAGGTCAAAGTATTCAAAGAACTCGCGAGATTCTATTCAATTCGGAGAAGACATGAAAGTTTTTGTATGGAACAAAAACAGAAATGGCAAAACAGTCTGGTTGCCAGGGACAATTCTTAGTATATTCGGAGATGATTATAAGGTCGAAGTCCCTTGGCTGAAAACCGTAGTTAGTAGAGAAAAATGGCAGTTAAGAAAGCCAAATTCGATGAATTCAAAAGGGAATTATTCAGATTCGACAGATTCGAGGGCCAGTCTAAGAACTAGAGAAAGTTCAATTCGAAGTCAAATTCTTGAAAATTCCAAGTACAATTCGAAGAGCCCAACAGAAACAAAGAACGTTCTTTGCGCTGGTACAGAGGCCAAAGAAGAAAAGAAGTCTTGGGTTCGTAAGATGATTTGGGGAAAATAAATGTGATAATATTGTGTAAATTTTCTTTTGTTGTTGTTTATTTGTCCCCCTTGTTTTTTTTGTTTTGTAATTTTGGCCCTTTGTATGTATTTTTTGTTTTGTTGGAGTAAGTATTCGAGCACACCCATGACAGATTCAGAGATAATTCATTCTTTTTAAAGGAGGGAGATGTTGGGTATGTGCTTAGTATAAAAGGCTACGGCTTTAGCCATTCGGGGGTTAGTGTTATTCTTAGTCTTATTCTAGTGCTCCACATATTCGGCATTGGCCATATTCCTATTGTTCGCTACTATTGTATTTAGTCTTGTAGATAAAACACAGTCGTTAGTTACTGTCTTATCTTGTTATTCTTGTTAGTACGTAGACATAGAAGTCACGTACATAACAAAATTGAACAACTCTAACCGATAATGGTATTATTCGACCCAGTTTGAAGAGCTCTTTCGAATGGTATATAGTAAACTATATATCAAGCAAAAAAGGGGAGCGATAGTATTACCGAAAAAAAGTATTACCGAAAAAAGGAAGAAGTGCTTTTTTCGATATTTAGAGGTCAATAATATTTATTTCTATAAACCTTTATAAGTTTAATTAAATTATAAAAATCTTTCAGCGTTATATACCAATTACAAACAAAATTAATGAGATTAGCAATTACTTTACATGTTGTGGAGATAAATGTATTAATTCAAATTTTTCTAACGGAACTTGCAATAAGGGGCAAAGTTTTATTCGTGTTAAAGATAATGGAATAGTTAACTATCATTCGGTGCACGATAAAGGTAACAGCAAAAATTTTTATTAATTGAAAAAGTTTGTTTTATAAAAACAACTTTAGAATTTTTTGTAGATATTCAAAAGCTGTAAAACTTTGAATATAAATTCTTTGGTTTATTTTCTAATACCCCAAAATTTGAAAATTTTTGGATGGGCCAGAGAGTAATATTGAGTATATTATTCGAAAGCTCACCAAAATCTCCATCTGGGGTGGGTTATGTGCCGAATTTTTCATCACCAAAAAACCAGGAATGTCGGTCCAGGAATGTCGACTTCCGGGTTCACAAGTTACATACTATACATTCCATGTTTAATATGTAAGTTACAAAACCTTTTAGCTTCTTGGATGATTAAAAAACACGTTTTTGCTGTAAATTTACGTAGTTTTCAGCTATAAATTTTTAATAGATCATAAATCCCTGAGTATCCAACCAAAAATTTTTCGAATTTTGGGTTCTATTATACACTAAAGAATTTATATCCAATATTTTACAGCTTTAAAATATCTACAAAAAATTCTATAATTATTATAATAAAATAGCTGTTTCAGACGTAGTAATTGGTTTTCATGGACAATATTCATTTACAAAAGCGGCAGGGTTTTGTTGTCATTATTCTCTATTTTATTTTGAAATTACAATGTTGGAAGACGTGAAGGACAAATTGTATGTAGATAGATTTAAACAAATTTTAAAACAAAACCTTAAAAGTTGTGAACAGTGCTTATAAGCTCGTACCAAAATTCTTACTTGTACTTTGAGTAAGAGCAAGAAAATAGGGTGGTACGAGTACGAGGCCAAAACTAGGGGTGGTACGGAATGCGAGGGAAAAAACCGGCTGATGATTGAAATTTATAAGAAAACAATTTTTAATCATAGATTAAACAGCCAATTTGAAACGGCAAGAATACTGAATTTTTATAAGACCTAATGAATGAGTGTATATATCAATAAATTTAAAATCTAAATGAAAAATCTAACTTACAATCTCTTGAAAAGAATTATTTTTTTAACTTTCAGTTGTTATGCAGCAATTGGTTTTAGTAGAGGTGGTACTCCATTAATGTTTATGTCGAACTATCCAATAACTTATACTGGATTATATCAAAAATCTTCTTGGAAAGACGGGGATGTTTTTGGTTGTGGAGTTGTTTTCCCACCAAAGAAAGAATCGAAAATATTACCTTATATATTTATTACAAAAAATGGTAGAAGGACTGGTGAGAATTTTTATTTTTTAGTGGATTTTTGGATAGGAAGGGCAAAAAACTGTAAAAATTAAGTTTAGTTAACCCTATAAGTTCAGAATTTTTGCATTTTTTAAAAATATTATATGAGTATCGAGTTTTACAATTTTCATTTTTCACAATTCCAACTAAAACCTCTTTTTTATAACATAAGAATAAAACATAAGAGCAGTATAACCCTAAACTCAATTAACCTTCTTTAATTTAGGCAACAAATTTTCATTGAAAGAGGATAGCGACAATTTACGTCCATATTTTAAATTACTTTTATGCTCAATTGAAATCAATTTTGGGAATGATCTCGATAGTAAACCTTTCCGTTATAATATTTTGAAGCATAATATTTAAAGAATTTTGATTTTTTTGAAAAGTTATGAACCTTCATTGATGCTCATAAAATATTTATTTTTGACTTGAATTTACATTTATGAATTTATATTATTTTTTAATAAATTTTTTATCAAATTAAAACAAAATATATTTTTTAGGAATTTTTAAATCATGTCCCAAAAATTTTCAGTGGGAATAGGGCTTGTACAGTGTGGCACCCCCCCCCCCCCCTTTTCTCCTTTTTTCTACATTGCCCTCTTTTTGAACTGGATTTTAATCCGATGTATTACTTTTCGGTATTTTGGTGACAAGAGTTTTGTTCGCTTCGTCAATCACTGGTTCGGGAACGGAAGAAAATATTACCCAAGAGTGTCGAACTTTTGCCAAAATTGGCACTTCGAAATTCTTCGTTGGCACTTCAAATTCTTGAGATTGTTCCTTATTTGATCTAATTATCTTTAATTTGAACAAAGTTATGACATAAACAAGGTTCCGGTTACTTCCTGTTCACGCTGTAATAATTTAAAGGGCAATTTGTTTCGTTTTTAAAATTATTCAAATAATTTAGGAAAAACATTGTATATAAATTGCCTAATTTATATATTTTACAACTTTTTGCTAATTAAATAATTTGAGTAACTATCGATTCTAAATTAATAAATTAAAAATAAACTTAATTAATCCAACAAAAATATTAAAAAAATCTTATTTTTTAATTTAAATTAAAAAAAAATAATTAAAATTAGTTTAATAAATTATATTTTATTTAAAAATTGATTCAATATTAAAAAGACTCTAAAATAAAAAAATTAATTGAAGATTGCCGCGTTTTTCTCTTCTCACAAAAATTTTGATTGCCGTAAACATTCTCATAAAAATATGTATTTAAAAATGTTTTCTATTTGTTTTAAATCATGTCTAACATTTTTGAAGGAAGGGCAAAGGTTTAAATATAAATAGGCACAACATTTATTTATTTGAATTATTTTTTAGCAAAAATTTCTTTATTTCTTAAAAAATACATATTTAGAATGTCATATACAATTAAGGGCCCATTTTCACTTTCAAATCCCGCTTATTCACCTTATAAAATTCAAAATATTTCTTTTGAACAACAAAATGACGAGAATCAACAAATTTTGGAAAATGATAATTTAATGACAGCACCTTCATTTAAATTAAAAATTAATAATTTGGAGAATAATAATCATTATGTAAATGATATTAGTAAAATTAAAAGGTATTTTCTATAAAGAAATGGAGTTATGTAATTTATAAGAAACGGTCGACTTTGAACAGCTACAAATTTATGAAGATTAATCCAGTACAAATGAATTTTATATCATTCGAAAGCCCTCGATAAGCTCTATTTTTTCTAAAAGGTTAGATCAAGTCTAATCACTCATTAAAAAGTTATAACTTGATACTTTGGTGTCTATCAGAGTTATCGGATTATAACTTTTTAATGATTGATAAGACCTTATCCATCAGGTTGGAAAAAAGATAGAGCTTATCGAGGAATTTCGAATGATATAAAATTCATTTTTATTGGATCAGGCAGCAAAAAGTTATAGCTTTTCAAAGTCCACTGACACTCAATTTGCGGTTGTTAATGAAAAATGAATTAATGGATAAGCTCATATTAAAATTTGTAACGGTGTATTTAAATTTAATTTTGTATTTAAATTTAACATACTACTTGATAAATTTATCTGAAAAAAGAAAAATAATGTTTTGGATAATTAAAAAGATAGGGGAATTTGGGAGGAGATTTATAAATAAATTAACAGAAATTTAAATTAATTTTTAGATTAACTACAAATACAAATTCTCCAACATTTATTATTTCAATAATTCCCAACAATTCTATTAATAATAATTCAAAATCTTTATCTCAACATTTACAAAAATATTTTAATATTAAAACTTTAATTATTTTCCTAACAATTATTTTTATATTTAATTTTGTTTTTTGTGGATATATTTTGTGGAAATTGGTAATTTTTTTATTTAAAATTAAAATTTTTTTCTTGGAAATAAACATTTTAGTTATCTTTAATGATTTTAGAAATCTACATATTTTTGTAAACCTACCGAATAAAAAGACAAACGATAATAGTTTGGTTTAGCCTCCCCCTCCCCTTTGTTCCTGATATTAAATTTGCGACATATTTTTTTGACAAATTATATAACATTCTAAAGAGCTCTTTGAGCTGTGTCGATTGATACTACAATAAACGAAATCTGACTTAAATCAACAAAGTTTGTTTTACTTCCTTGCAGTGCCTCAAAATATTTTTCTAGCGAGGATTCAGCTTTACAATTCTGTTCAGAAACGCAGCATCCAAGCAATCTTGGTATCAGTCGACCCAGCTTGAAGAACTCTTTCGGATGTTATATTTATAGATCAAGTAAAGAAAGCCTCAAAAATGGGCAGGGAAGCAGAAAGAGGGGAGGGTCTAAACACTAAACTATTACCACATTTCCCGAACTTAAAATATATTTTTTGAGACAAATCTGTCCAAAAAATTCCAAACCCAAAAATATTATTTAAAAATCCTTTTAATTTCTTTTAAAAAAAATTTTTAGAATTTATTCAAAAATTATTTTGAATTAAAACTAAATGAAAATAATATTGAATTGACAAATATAAAAAGAATAAATAATTGGTTACTTTTAAAAAATGAAGAAAATCAGAAAGAATTTACTCGAATAGAAACAGAAAAGGGTCATTTTTTGGAACAAATTGGAATTTTAAGAAAGAAAAGTAGTTTTTTCTAAATTTGGTACTTGTGTAACTTATACACCATGAGTTTAAAATGATATAAATAACCATAACACAATTGCCGTATTCAGGATCCTGTTCAGAATCCTGCCTTTTTTCAGTTTTCAGGATTTTCAGGATTAATCCTGCAGGATCCTGTCCTGTTCGTAATTTTAAAACCCAATCCAGATACAGGATCCTGCAAATGTGATTTTACCGAGCTCTAGTTTATATCATTTGAAATTCATGGTGTATAAACTAGACAAGTCCCTAAATTTTACTTAAACTTTTTGTTTTATTTAAAGTTGAAAAAAGTATTGTTTTCTCTTCACTAGAAAAGGAAGTTAAACAAATTAGACGGTCAACAACTAAAAATGAAACTGAAAATATTTTGAATGGAGAGAAGAAAAGTGGAAGAAATTTTATAATTTATTTTAATGGAAAGCCTTTTGACGGAAATGAATTTTTGGCAAAACCAGAGAAATAAATAAAAATACCGTATTTATTCTAATAGAATGGCCCCTCTAATAGAATGGCCCCTCCAATAGAATGGCCCCTTTTTGGGGGTATCGAAAAATAGAGTGGCCACCTCTATTTGAATGGCCCCTCCAATAGAATGGCCCTTTTAACTACAAAACATATACCTAATACATTTATTTTTTTCTTATTACCTGTTAAATAGTACTCTTTAGTTAGGATAATAATATTTTTGAGCAAATCTGGAGTCATAACAGGGAGATTAAGAGGGATATCAGGGGATTTGAGAGGATTAGAAGGGATATCACGAAGTTACAACGATTTACTGAAGATAACTAATAGCAAGGAATTAAAAGAATTAAGGTTAGATATTCATGGATTGAATAAATCTATTCCGATTCCAGTATATTACGTCCAAATTCCAAGATCCTACGAAATTTTAGGAGCCAACTGTACCGGAAATTTTGATTGTGTGGCACAGGGATGTCACGGGTTGAGCAAAAAGTCGGGTCGGGTTTCGGATCGGGTTTTCAAAATTTTCTTCGGATCGGGTTTCGGGTTTCGGGTCGAAAAAAAGCCAAAATTTTGAGAATTTTGGAAGCCAAAAAGCCAAAAATCTTCCCTTCTCAGCGCCGCAGGCGAAAATTTTGAGAATTCTTGAAGGTCCGAAGCCAGATTTCTTCCTCTTTCAGCGCCGCAGGCGAAAATTTTCAGAATTTTGGAAGATCATTAAGCTAAAATCTTCCTTTTTTCTGCGACGCGGGCGAAAATTTTGAGAAAACTCGGGTCGGGTTTCGGGTCGGGTTTTGAAAAATAAAAATTCTCGGGTCGGGTTTCGGGTCGGGTTTTAGAAAATTTCTCGGATCGGGTTTCGGGTATCGGGTCGAAAAAAAGGCCGGGTTTCGGGTTTCGGGTATCGGGTTTCGGGTAACCCGTGACATCCCTGGTGTGGCACCGAAGTACATCAAAAGTTGCCTTTTTAGCCCCGCAGGCAAAAGGTTCTTATGTTTTATAGTGATACGAGAAGGAAAATTCACTAACCTAAATCAAAACTTTAGAATTTTATAAGAAAAATCGATTAAATTTCGAAGTCGAAAAATATTCGAGTGGACAATAGGTTCATCCAATCTCAGATTTTAACCTATGAAAAATAGTCGGGTCGGGTTTCGGATCGGGTTTTCAAAATTTTCTTCGGATCGGGTTTCGGGTTTCGGGTCGAAAAAAAGCCAAAATTTTGAGAATTTTGGAAGCCAAAAAGCCAAAAATCTTCCCTTCTCAGCGCCGCAGGCGAAAATTTTGAGAATTCTTGAAGGTCCGAAGCCAGATTTCTTCCTCTTTCAGCGCCGCAGGCGAAAATTTTCAGAATTTTGGAAGATCATTAAGCTAAAATCTTCCTTTTTTCTGCGACGCGGGCGAAAATTTTGAGAAAACTCGGGTCGGGTTTCGGGTCGGGTTTTGAAAAATAAAAATTCTCGGGTCGGGTTTCGGGTCGGGTTTTAGAAAATTTCTCGGATCGGGTTTCGGGTATCGGGTCGAAAAAAAGGCCGGGTTTCGGGTATCGGGTTTCGGGTAACCCGTGACATCCCTGGTGTGGCACCGAAGTACATCAAAAGTTGCCTTTTTAGCCCCGCAGGCAAAAGGTTCTTATGTTTTATAGTGATACGAGAAGGAAAATTCACTAACCTAAATCAAAACTTTAGAATTTTATAAGAAAAATCGATTAAATTTCGAAGTCGAAAAATATTCGAGTGGACAATAGGTTCATCCAATCTCAGATTTTAACCTATGAAAAATAGAATGGCCACCTCCATTAGAATGGCCCCTCCAATAGAATGGCCCCTTTTTGGGGGTATCGAAAAATAGAGTGGCGGCCACTCTATTAGAATAAATACGGTAAATATATTAATTTTAATATTTTTAATTTTTAACTATTTACATATTTTTTATTATAAATCCTAAATTAATTTTGTGTTTTTTTATTTTGAAATATTTAAGTACAATCTCTATCCGTTTAAGAATTATGCAGAATATTTTCTGTCTTGATTAGGGTTGCCAAATTGGACTGCCTACACATATACTTAGTCCTCGAAGGCCTTGTCCTATATATTTTTTGGCCTTGTCCTATATGTATATTTTTATCAAATAGGCAAATTATCAAATTAAAAATATTAAAATGAAATCTCAGGTCTCCCAAATCCTCTTAATTCTCTTAATACTTGGAGGGCTTCCCTGGATACCCTTAATTCGCTTTTGATTTCTGATATCACTATTGTCCTCTAAATCCCACGATATTGCACAAAATGCACAAATATCTCTGTTAATCCCGAATTTGGAATCGCCTGCCTAGATATTGGATTTGCTAGTGGTTTACAACTACGCCCATATAATTGAGCGATTTCTGACTACTATTAAATTACAAATTTAAGTAATTATTTGAATATTTTCTCAAACTTTATATCGAATTTTTTGATTTTTAGACATCAACATGCTTCTAATATGACTTTTATTTTTTAAAGTACGTATCACCAAATAAGGCAACATATAAGAAAAATAAAGTCAAAAAATTTACATTTTTTGTGAGAAATCTTTAGTTTGGTAATATTTAAGTTTACAGACACACATTTTCCTCCCCTTTTTTTTTGAATTTTTCCCAAATACCAGAAAATGGTACAAGTACCCTTATATGCAGTACAAATACTTGTTTATTTGTTAACAAATAACAGAACAGGGAATTTGTGAAGAAAGAAAGTGAAGAAAGTCTGACCATTATATAAATTTTATGGAAAAACTAAGGGATGAAAAAAGGGGTGTATGTAACAGGGGTGTGCCGAAACGGATTTTAAAAAGCGAAACGCGAAAGGCGAAATTAAATTTAAAAAGTGAAACGCGAAACGCGAAAGTAAATTTAAAAAAGCGACACGCGAAAGTCCAAAAAACGCGAAAATCCGCGAAAGGCGAAACGCGAAACTGGTACACCCCTGGTATGTAACCTTCAATATCACCTTTAGTATAAAAGAATACTTTAAGATAAAAAAATAAATTAATAAAATGCTCAAAAGCTTTAAAATCCAAAAAAGTCAAATTGCCCATTTTACATGTTTTTGTGGATAGCATTTGTTGTTTTTCTTCTTTAAAATTGAATTTAAATTGGGCACATCAGACGAAACATAATTAGAACAAGAATCTTAAAAAATTTAAAGTTAAAAAAAATTTTTTTTTAAATTTTACTGTAATATTTAAAAAGTAAATAAACGTCGTTGTCTTTTGAAACATTTGAAGCAAATTGTGAAGACATGAAATTATAAATCTATTTAAAAAAGGGTACTTTGAACTAGAGCTAGGACCTTTTCTGTTTTTCGTTATTGTCTCTCTTCAGGGTTCCAGTGTTAAAACGACGGATAATCTGCTCTATTTTCAAAACTCGCATTTTTATGCGTCTCTTCAAAAGTGATCAACAACGCAGGCGCACTGAAGAAATACATATATCGAAAAACAGAAGAGGTCCGAGCTCTACTCTCAATTATGTGTACTATTTTTGGAGAATGTAAAAACGAACGGAGAAGAAAAATTCATGGGGGATACCACATAAATACCAAAAAATGGGAAAAAAACATTAAAACAATGTTTAAAAATCCCCAAATTTGGAAAAAAATTTTCCCGGATCAGAAATCTTTTTACACATTATAGGTTTATAGCGAACCATTGTTCCTTGTCATTTGATTTATAGTCCTTTTGAGAGGAAAATTCTTGATCACTTTTTGGTACTACTTCTTCCACTTCCTGAGAAAGTTCCTTAATTCGCCTTCGCAAGGCCTTTACCGTTTTTTCTGTTGTTTCGAGTTCAGAAGTCTAATTAAAGATTAGAAATCAAAAAAAAATAAAAAAAACCAGTTCATCTATACAGTCCTTTTTATTTACCAATGCAATCTTCTAAATTATAAATGAAAATAAATTAGAAATTAAAGAAAATTAAAAAAACCATTCTAAGTATATCCTTTTCTTTCTTTTCCAATTCAATTTTCTAAATTATAAATAAAAATAAACATTTTACAATTAGTTTTCGAGTCGGGCCAATTTGAGTCATTTTCGGGCCAAAATTTCGATGGCCAACTCGATAATTTCGGAGTTGGGCCGGTAACTCAAATTACAATTAAAGAAACCTTTTTTCTATATAAATTCTCAAATCGCTGTCTATCTACTTTCTCTTTATTTAGTTCAGTAAGTAAATAAAATTTTGATGGCTTGATGAGAATATCACAACATTCCTGTTAAAAATGTGAATATATTGAATGACTAGAGTTGAAAAAACAGCAACAGGAATTGAAAAATGACCCTAATGGCTACGGGACAGGTATTTCTGGTTGATTGAAAACCTTCGAAACAGGTTCTTAAAACGGAAAGTCTAAAATTTACACTGTTCAGGACTCTACTAATGACACTCTAAAAATTCCAAACTTTTAATTTATTGTATTAATGGCAATGAAGCCCCTATTTTTCACCCATTTCACAAAGGAGGCTGTATTAAAGAGAAGGCTCTGATTCAGAGGGGCAGTAATTCCAAGGCTAGCCCCCTTTTTTTATGTTCGCCTGACCATTTTGAGATTTTTTGCTTGAAATATAATTTACAATATATCAACCGAAAGAGCTGTTCGAGCTTAGTAGAATGATACTATGTTTGGATAGATTTGTCGATTTTGAACCAAATTATGAAGCTAAATCCTCGATGGACTTGCTTTTTGTGATGTTGAAAGGGATTAAAACAAATGGTCATAACTATGTTTATTTAAGTCGGATTTCGATGAATTTAGTACCGTTCGACTTAGCTTGAAGAGCTCTTTCGAATGATATATAATTTGCCATAAAAAATTTAAAAAATCGAAAAAATTGAAAGGAAAAGAAGAGGGGGACCAGCCTTGGAATTACCGAGGGGGCATTACAGAAAATACGGTATTTAATTTTGAGAAATATTATTTATTAAAAATATGTTTACATTTTGAAGGTAAAAAGAACTAGCTGGCTGAGAAGAACCGGATGAGGAATTAAAATTAGTCGCCTCTTTGTTAAAATTTGTAAGCTCCTGGCAATCTTTAATTTGCATACAATTATCGTGACTGAAAAATAACAAAAAATGTTAAAAATTTGTCCAAAATTAAACCTTAATTTCTCGGAATTAACCAAAATTGGACTATTTTTAGAATCACATCCACTTCCAGAGTTTTTAAAAAACTCTGAGTTATCAGAGCCTGGCGATCTTGCATTTTCCTGGCGATTTTGTATTGCCAAGGTCGCCAGATTATTAGAGCAAGGCGGCTAAAAATTGAAAAATAATTAGAATTATATAAGAAACAGTTTGCAACCCAAAGTATTTTGATTATTTTTTAAAGGGAGGATTTTCAAAAAATTTCTTATATTTAAAATGTATACAGAGTTAATGTTGGCAGAAGGTTCCGCTATTTTCACTTGCACTTCAAATGCCTCCTCCAATTTACTAAAGTCTTCAAAGTTTCCTTAAAAATGAATTTAAAAAATTTAAAAATATTTTTAAAACCATCGGATTTAGTCAAGGATTCAGTCTCCCTTTCTTTCTCATCTTCTGAGATATTTACCAATTCAGATTCTTCAGGTTGTGTAGTATGAACATTAATTAATAAATCCTTCAAATTTTTTATAAATAAAATTTTTTCCAAAAAACAAGGGGTCGACCCCATACCCCCCCCCCCCAAATTTTTTTTCCAAACAAGGGGTCGACCCCATACCCCCCCCCCCCCCCCCCAAATTTTTTTTCCAAACAAGGGGTCGACCCCATACCCCCCCCCCCCCCCCCCAAATTTTTTTTCCAAACAAGGGGTCGACCCCATACCCCCCCCCCCCCAAATTTTTTTTCCAAACAAGGGGTCGACCCCATACCCCCCCCCCCCCCCCAAATTTTTTTTCCAAACAAGGGATCGACCCTATACCCCCCCCCCCAAAATTTTTTTCCAAACAAGGGGTCGACCCTATACCCCCCCCCCCCCAAATTTTTTTTACAAACAAGGGGTCGACCCTATACCCCCAAAAAATTTTTTTAATCGTTAAAATTAAATTTGAGATTAAAAAGTCTTTAAATTAAATAAAAAAATCTATGACCACCAAAAGGTACGAACTCTATAACCCAGTAGGTAGAGGCTAATAGACTAACTAATACACCACATCTTCTTACTCCAAAAATTTATTATGAATTTCTAAAATTAATTTTGAGGGTAAAAAATTTTCAAATTTTTTCTAATATTTCTTATTCCAAAATTAAATAATTAAAAATTTTTTATACACCTCAAATACATCCAAGTCTTGTAATTGAATTTCATTGCATTCCCATAAATAAATTTTATAAACTTCTAATAATTCCATTTCTTGAAATTGAATATCTTTACATTCAGCCATATTTTTAAAAAGTATTTTTAATTAATTTTTGATAAACTTAAACCTCTGAAAATAAAAATAAAAAACAATTTAAATGATAGTAACTTTTATTTATTTTCTCTATTTATAAACAAATTTCTGTCTGAAATTTGTTATAAAGCAAATTTCCCATCTACATACTGCATGTCTCATAATCTATATATTGCCTAAATTGAAGACTTTGTTCGGCATTATGTCAAGCATAAGAACCCGCAAATGTTTGTCCGAACAGGGCTGTGCGGCAGAATTTTTGCGTGGCGCGCCAAACGCCAATTTTTCAAATTTTCAAATCACGCCAAACGCCAGAACGCCAAAATCGGCCAAAAACGACGCCAAAACGCCATGACGCACAGCCCTGGTCCGAACCTGTTCTTCTGTCTTCACCTTCCTTCTTTCTTCTCTCCCTCTCTCTTAAAGATTTAAAAATGGGCAAATAATGTTGGCAAATCAAATGTTACTACACTTTATAGGTTATCGAAGATTCCGAACTCATATTTTTATCAAATAAATTATCAAATTAAAAATATTCAAAACGGAAAATATTATTTTAAATTATCTAAGAATCCTTAGTGATATAACAAATATATTCGGATATTAATTTTAACTTCTCTTAGCATGGTCATGGATACGGATATGGATACAGATAATATCAAAATGACTGCGGATATCTGCCTGTATCCGCCGTAAATATGCGGATACGTATACCAAAATCAGTATCCGTGACCATGCCTCCACTCGTTTAACAATTATGCAAAATATTTTCTGTCTCGATTTCACCAGCGATTTTTGACTATTCGTAGTTGCCCCTCCACTGCTTACACCAATACTTGGTCCTCGAAGGCCCTGTCTTACATATTTTTATCAAATAGGCCACTTTGTTCTGTGTTTGCGTGATTTTCAGGATTCATAATTTTTGGTGATTTATGATTGATGCTCATATCTTAACTGATCTCCTAAGTGATCTAGAACATTAATTTAAATATTTTTAAAAAATTACGAATTACGGCATTTTTTAAATTACGAATTACGATTACGAAAAAAATTTTCAATTACGACGCAACTCTGATCAACTGGACATTTACCGGAAATATGCCTTAAAAATTTCGGAAATCAGAAATCGGAAGGAAAAAACGTTGGAAGTCGGAATTCCGACCCACCTCGGATCCGCAGGTATTTAAAAACAAAAATTTGCAATTGCGGAATACAAAAATATATACACATTTCCAAATTTTTCAAATAATTTATCCCTACAAAAAACTTTTAAATAGAAAAATATTAAAATAGTGATTGGGATACATCTTAGTCTTTCAAATATTAAATAGTAAAAATAGCCGTGTTATTTCCACAGAAAAGTCGGCTACATCCTCATTTTCTGTCAGTTTCTTGGATGACCTGATTAAAAAATAAATTAAAATAATTTTTATCAAATTTTTATTGCTTAATTAATTGTATGTATTTTCGGAACTTATTTACTTTAACTACCCACCTCAAAATTTTTGTGGGGGATTTTTCAATTAGATTTTGACAATATACATTATGTCAATCGAAAGAGCTCGACGAGCTGAGTCGAATGGTAACAAAATCAACTTGTTTTGATGATTTTGAACAAAATTACGAGGAACTAAATTTTGAGTTCTACTAGTGTAGAACTCATCGACCTTTAGCTCCCCACGAAGCGCCTGCCGCGAAACCCTCGCGAAACGCGGGTTTTACACAAGTTTTGCTCTGACCATTTTGAGCAAATAATTAAGTTAAAGTAAATAAGTTCCCTATTTTCTAAAGATTATCTAGTAAAATATTCATTTTTATATATAATAATAAAAATTTTATAGTCACCAGATTCGGTCGGAATTCTGATTTCCGATGGTTTCGATTTCCGGCACCTTCGTATTTCCGACCGACCCCCTTTACTCACTAGCTTTAGAGATATTACCATTCCCTGTGGACCTATCCGACATACATAATTCAATTAATTTTTTGACTTACATTCATGACTACCATGTCCACATCCTCTATGCGATGGGCCGCCGTTCTTAGCTTTAGTGCAAAATCATAAAATTAATTATTAAAAAAATTAAAAATATAATATTAGAATTAATTTTAATCATTTTTTGTAAATTTATTTATTTAAATTTTATTTATTCTTATTAAAAATAATATACTTTTATGGGTAAATCTGCTAGTATTTATTTGGCCAAATTTGTCAAACTAGGAAAAGTACAGGAAAATAAAAAATTGAAAATTTCAATGAAAGAAATATCCATTTTTAAATTTTAGTAGTTGTCAAGACATTTGGCCAAAATGTAATGTACATACCAAAGCATTTATTTACTTAACTGTCTGAATAGCTCAATACTCTCAACGAGAGCTGCCTCTTTCTAACCTTTAATTTTAAATGCTCTTTGAGATTTTATTTTTTTTTCTTTCTATATTTAGTCTATTTATTAGAATTTATTTTTTGTTTTTTTTATAAAAATTAATTTCAAAATTTAAATATTCTCAGATTAATTAATAACTCAAAAAGAGAATGTGTGAAATAGAGGAATTTCACGTGAATTACCAAAAAATTTTTTCAGAGTCCAAAGTCCCTTATTTTTTGAAAATAAATAAAATTACTGCTATCCTTTTTTAGTAGTTTTTTAAATTTTAAATCTTAATCCCCTATCAGGGTGGCCCCTTCCAAAACACTAAAATAGGGCGCAGCCACTTAAAAATAGGGCGAAAAGGTCAAAAATAGGGAAAATCCTCTATAAATAGGGTAAAAGGGCCACCCTGTCCCCTATATCGGGATCACCCCAGAGTATCGTCGCCCAAACAGGGGCAGGCGCATAGCGTTATTTGCGTTAAACTTTGGCCTTGGTTGCGTTTTCTTCGACGAAATTAACGCAAAAAAATATACCCAATCTGAGGGGAAACTTGGCTTCTTGTGTTTCCGAAATTCTCAAAATTTTTGCCTGCGGCGCTGTAAAATAAAGAAAGCTGGCTGTTAAGCCTTTCGTCTTTCGTCGATTTTGGGTTTTTTTGGACTTTCGCATTTTCGTCTTTCGCTTTTTAAAATCACTTTCGGCACACCCCTGATATGTACCCATCAATTTTGCAAAAGAATAATGACTTTTGGTTTCTATAGATCTTTAAACGATATTGTTTTTTTGCCTGTAGAATAGTTAGTAATGTTGCGTTCCTTCGCAGTTACAATATTAATTTAGAGAGACAAACTCACTTTTTTTCCATCTTTTCAAACCAAACATTTTTACAAAACAGTTCTAAGAACACCCCCAACCTATTGATTCCTCTTATTTATGTTCACAAAAACAGAAATGTTTATATTTATGTAAAAAAATTTTCAATCTTTCTCAAATTTTTTCACTTTTCTGTTTTTTATTGAGTTTATCAGAAAGGAGATTAAGATTTTTTAAACAAGGAGGAAATGGCTCTTAAAAAATAGCTAAAAAATTTGATTCTACGTTAATTTATAAACCCATTCCTAGACCAAGAGATAATTTTTAGAATAATACATATCAACAATTTTATTTTTAAATTGAACAGATTAATAGGTATCCCTCGTTTTTCTTGAATTTCTAGTTGTCTGAAACGAACAAAAACAAGTTTATGTTGGGTCTGAAACTAAAAGGAAGGATTTTCCCTATTTTCCACATTTCCATATTTTACCATTTTCCCCCTATCCTCGTCAATTTTTGTTATTTTCTAGAATAATTAATAAATTTCAACATAATAATTTAATAAATAAATAATAATCTTATGAATATATTTTTAATAATTAATTAATTTGAAAAAATGTCTGATTCATCAACATCTCAAAATTCTTTAACTACTAGTTCTACTAGTTTTAAAATACTAAAAAAATGTCGAAAGCGTAAAACGGTGTTTTATCAATACAGTTCTGATGAAAGTAGTGATGATAATTTTGCAGAAAAACAAAATACTAATTGCCGGAAGAGATCGTTGGCAGTTAATTTAAAAAAATTTTATTTTTTATATTGAAAAAATTTTTAGTTCGAAATGGAGCAGACAAACTTGGAAATGAAGTTAATTAATGATAAGTCTGATTTGGTAATAAATATTTTTTGATAAATTTATTTAAATAGAGAATAAATGGGGGGGGGGGTATAGAAGGTTAAAAATTGTTGGGGAGGTGCTTCTAATTTTCTATCGGTAATATTGAAGAGTATGGGCCCCATTTTTTCCTCCCTATTTTCCCCCTTATATTTTTACAAAATGGTCAGACTTTTTCCTTCCTTCCATCCAATTTGCCTTTCTAATTTTTGCCTTGAAACAAAGAAAAAGGATTATTTTTTGGTATTTAACAAGTATGAGTTTTGGGAAGACTCATTTTCTCTATTAAAACGGGAAATAAAATATCAAAAATAATCCTTTTTCTTTGTTTCAAGGCAAAAATTAGAAAGGCAAATTGGATGGAAGGAAGGAAAAAGTCTGACCATTTTGTAAAAATATAAGGGGGAAAATAGGGAGGAAAAAATGGGGCCCATACTCTTCAATATTACCTTTCTATCTCTTGGAAAACTTTGAACGGCCATAACTCGGCCCAAAGTTATTTTGCAAGAAATCGGATATCACTTTGCAATAGGAAGTCGAGGGTGATTCCTTGCGAGAAGAATAGATTTATAGATTTTGGTATAGTTTTCATCAACCCTGTTCATAGATACGGATAATATCCGAATACTTGCGGATATATCCGGATATGGATATTTTTTTTAAATTAGATGAATACGGATATGATGCTCGAAATCCGCTGATATCCGTTTCAAAATTTCCCCCTGCGACGCTAAAAGAAGGATGAACTCTGGCTACCTGGCTTCCATTACCCTTTTCTGTTCAAAATAAAAATCTGAACAATCATGTAAGTTCATCGTCATTGGAGAGTGATCGTGACCATGTGGTCATTTTAATATGAAAGTTCGATTTCTAAATGAAATCGAACTTTAATAAAGGGAAACGTTATTGGTGATCGGCCTAAATATCTCAATAATCTTTGCCAATACTTTCCTTTTAATTTTATATTTTAATTCAAAAAATTAAGCAAAATTCTTTGATGTTGGAAATTAATAAAAATGAGGACCTTCTTTCCGAAAAAAATAAATTATATGAAGAATTGGAGAAATCAATCAGTGAAAAAGAGAAATACAAAAAGGAAAGTAAATTATATTTGGAAGAAGTTGTTGAAGTTGAAACTGATTATTCAAAATTATTGAATGAATTAAATAAATTGAAAGAAGAATACCAAAATTCAAATAAAAAATTGGAAAAAATAAATAAAGAAAATTTAAAATTGAGAGAAGAAAAAAATTTAAATTTGAAGGAATTGGAGAATTACAGAAATGCTTGTCAATTACCGACAGACGAGAAAACTGTTTTACTTAAACAAAATAATCAGTTGTCTGTTGAATTACAACGGGCAAATTCTGAATTGACAAAATGTAGAAATGAGCTTGCTTTGAATTTGAAGCTTGTTGTAAGTTTTGTTTTTTTATGTAGAAGATCAAATGGCCCAGAAGGTCAAATACAAATTTTGGGCTGATAAATAAGGATTTGTGCATATTAAAGCGGATTTGTGGTTATTGAGGAGATATCGACGGATTTGGGCGGATTAAGACGAATTTGTTGGGATTCAGGGACACAGGACGGAAATAACTGGGGTGGACCCTGTGTTTTAAAACAAAAACAAAATCATGACGAATTGGTTTAATGACTGAATTGATAAATTCATAAAGCTATCCATAATGTTTATTTCTATTTGCCACTTAAGTTCTTTATACACAATCAAAGTTTATTTAACTTATAAAAATCTTTTAGCGTTATGTATCCATTGAGAACAGAATTAACGAGATTAGCAATTACTCTACATGTTGTGGAAATAGATGCATTAATTCAAATTTATCTGAAGGAACGTGCAATTCCGGGCATGGCTTTATCCGTGTTCAGGATGATGGAATAGTGAGCTATCATTCGGTGGACGATAAATGTAAAAACAAAAAGTTCTTAATAATTTTAAGAAAGATTTCTTTAAGTTAACAATGTAATTGGTTTTTATGCACAAAATTCATTTACAAAAGCGGCAGGGTTTTGTTGTCACTATTCTCTATTTTATTTTGAAATTACAATGTTGGAAGACGTGAAAGACAAATTGTAGGGGTTTTAAATTGCCAAAAAAAATGTTAAAGTTTTGTACGGAGAAGGGAGATACTGCTGGAGGCGGGATGTCATATATAGAGTAATAAAAGGTGCCGAGTCAAACGGTACCTTTCTGCCCGGAGGTGCATGTGGACCCGAGATATATGGCTTGAAATGGTCAAAAACCATAGAGTCATTTAGGGTAAAAATTTGAATATGCTAAAAAAGCTCATGCGAAAGGGCTCATCGAGCTGAGTCTGACACCAAAATTAATGAAATATGATTTGATTGGATCGAGATACAAGCCTCTGAAAATTGAAGATCCACAGGGTCGATTTTTCTAAAAGAGCCGGCAAAAGTAAAGCTCCGATAGCTCATTTTGTAGAGAAAGTTTACTTTGGTTATTAGCAGAAGAGCTGGGCACTATCCAAAACTTGACTCAATTAGAAAATTATAAACTTGGCAAAAATAACGGCTCTATTACACAATATACGTCCAATCAACTTTTATACGTCCAATCAAAGTTTATACGTCCAATGAAAATTTATGCGTCCAATCAAATTTTATACATCCAAACATATTTTTATCATGAATATAATTTAAGAAATAATTTTAAGTAAAAAATCTTATTTCATCAATTAATTTTGAATGCTTTACCAAAAATTAAACCGGGACTTGTATTCCAATTAGGGTTGCCGGCCCGGTTCGGCTCGATAGGTCGAACCAGACGCCGACGCCGAATCAGTGCCAGGTTCGACCGGACGCCGAACTCAGTGCCAGGTTCGATAAAAATGAAGCCAGATAAAGACTCGACCGGTCCGGCTTGAAAAAAATTAGGCCCGAAAATATTCAGTTCAAATAATAAGTGATAAAAATATGTTTGGACGTATAAAATCTGATTGGACGCATAAACTTTTTATTGGACGCATAAACTTTTTATTGGACGCATAAATTTTCATTGGACGCATAAACTTTGATTGGACGTATAAAAGTTGATTGGACGTATATTGTGTAATAGAGCCAAAATAACTTGAAAGATTAAAATAAAATAATTATCAGTTGTTATGCAAAAATTGGTTTCTACAATAAAGAGGCTCCATCAATGTATATTTTAAATGGTCGTTTAAATCTTAATGGAACCGAATTATATCAAAAATCTCCTTGGAAGGACGGGGATGTTTTTGGTTGTGGAGTTGTTTTTCCATCAAAGAAGGATTTGAATATATTACCTTATGTATTTTTTACAAAAAATGGTAGAAAAAATGGTGAGAGTTTTTGTTTTTTTTCGAAGAAATTCTGGAATAGGAAACCAGTACGAGGGTCAAAAAATAGTAGATAATTTTAAGCCACCCAGAACACCAAGTTTTACAATTTCAATTTAAACTAGGTTAGCACCCCTAGTATTTAGGGTTGAGAGTATCAAGTATCGAGATTTGCCGGAGAGAGTTTGTCGGGGTTCGGGTCGGGGTTTTTGCCCAAAAAAATCAGCAGGGTATGGGCAACGGAGTGCTACACTAATTCAAGCTTTTCTAAATTCAATTATCTATATTTTCTCTAATTTAGGCAACAAATTCTCATTGAAAGAGGATAGCGACAATTTACGTCCATATTTTAAACTGCTCTCTTGCTCTATTGAAATTAATTTTGGAAATGATCTCGAAAACGAGCCTTTTAGTTACAATACTTTCAAACATAATATTTGAAGAATTTTAATTTTTAGAAAATATTTTTAATATTTATTTATGTAAAACATATTTTATTTTTAATATTTATTTGTTATTTAAATTTTTATTTTAAACACTATATGTATATTTGGAAGTAAATATTAAATTAACTCGTTTCGAGACCTATTTTTGTGTGTTTTTAATGAAATCATAAAGAAATATATACTCGAATTTCGATAGCAAATTTAAGTTGATTCAAATCGAGACGTTTGTACTTAAATATTTAAATGATTCTGTTGAGAATTTTTGTTGAATATTTTTCCTAATTTATGAATTGTTTTCTAATAATTTATTCAACATTTTGGGATCAACACAGAAGGTCAACATCCTAGTGGTCAACTCACCCTGGAGATCAACTCCAAATAACGGATAAAGAATTCTTGTGGATTGTGATGGATTTGGTGGGATTAAGAAGGATTAACAGGGTGAGTTGACCACAGGGTATTGACCTTCTGACCCAACACTTTCGCCCTTAATTAATCTTTATACTTTAAAAACCCAAAAAATACCCAACCAACCTATAATATTGATTCTTTGTAAATGTCTACAGTTTAAGATAGTAAAGGGGGAAGGAGATGCAAAAGATATGTTCAGTTTTTGTTATTTTATTTTGCATTTATTTTATATTTTTCTATTTACACATTAATTTGTTATGTAAATTTATGTAAATTGTTGTTTTATTTTTTTAATTTTTAAAAATTTATAAATATGTATATGTACATACATACAGACAGATTTCGAGTAAACCAAGGTTTGGGGTTCCTCTCTTTTCTTCTTAAAAAAATTTTAAGAGAGGTCAAACCTTCAACCTTCCTCAATTTTACTCAATTTCCCTGTAGCATATTCAATTGGAGACAATAAAGAAAGATTATTTTTTAATAGTCTTTGCCGTGAGCAATTAAGAAAAGGAGAAAGTCTGGCCATATTGTTACATTGTCGGCGGTAAATTTCAATTTTAGAACCCCCAATCATTAAATCTACGCAACAGGATAACTTACATAAATTTTTGAGATTAGAAGACCCTACTCACCCAAAGTTATGGTACACACTAACAGTAGTGGACCGTAGGTTCTAACACGTAGTAGAGTAATGTAATAACTGAAATTTCCGAAGAGTTGAAAAAAAGGGGAAGATAAAAGAAAGCCCCGGGGAAGTTTTAGTCTTAGGGAAAATAAAAGGGAACCCTAAACCTTACTAGGGAAGGTTGCGAGGTGTCCGAGCTAAAAACGGTCGAGACCGGGCTCATTCGATAGAGAATGTGCCCTTTCTAGCAAGGATTTTTTGCCGTTTTTGCCCGTTTTTTGATCTGGCCAAGATATGGCCCGCCAAAGTCCCAAAATTTGGCATAATTTTTCCCCCTTAAATATAAACATTAAATAATGGGTTAATTCTGTTGGCGTGGTGGTGTAGTGGTGAGTGTGCTTGACTTACCCTTTTTCTCTAAAAAGTTCGATTCTTTTTTGGGTTTTATTTTTTTATCTAATTGTTTTAACCATTATTTATTCTTTTTTTCAACAAAAAAATTTTTTTTTGGTTGGAAAAATTTTTTTTATTTTTTAAAAATTTTCAAAAATTAAAAAAAAAATTTTTTAAAAACCGGGGAATCTTCTTTTCTCCTGTGTGGAGAGGAGAAGATTCCCCGCGAGAATTCGATCATCCGATCCGTTATTGTTTTCCAATATCGTTCCCTTTTGGATGTAATACACCTAATTGTTTGGAATCTAATTTTATTCGATGTACCAGCTGTAACAACTTCCTCTCCACACAGGAGAAAAGAAGATTCCCCGGTTTAAAAATTTTTTTTTAATTTTTGAAAATTTTTAAAAAATAAAAAAAATTTTTCCAACCAAAAAAAATTTTTTTTGTTGAAAAAAAGAATAAATAATGGTTAAAACAATTAGATAAAAAAATAAAACACAAAAAAGAATCGAACTTTTTAGAGAAAAAGGGTAAGTCAAGCACACTCACCACTACACTACCACGCCAACAAAATTAACCCATTATTTAATGTTTATATTTAAGGGGGAAAAATTATGCCAAATTTTGGGACTTTGGCGGGCCATATCTTGGCCAGATCAAAAAACGGGCAAAAACGGCAAAAAATCCTTGCTAGAAAGGGCACATTCTCTATCGAATGAGCCCGGTCTCGACCGTTTTTAGCTCGGACACCTCGCAACCTTCCCTAGTTAGTTTACCCCAGATTTCATAAATATCTTTACACAATATTTGATCCGACTATATTTTATTTTTATTATAAGAAATGACTGATTCAACTACTACATCTGAAAATTCTTTTATTGAAGATTCTGCTGATCCACAACTAAATTTAAATAATTATAGAAAACGTAAAAGAACTCTAATTGAGGAAATGGATCAAACAAACTTGCAAATGCAGTTAATTAAGGATAAATGTGATTTGGTAAAAAATATATATTTTTAAATAAATGGGGGAGGTGGGAAGAAAATTTCGATAAAATTTTGTCCAAACAAAAGTTTAAATAAGTCCCAAATACCGCATTTTTTCAATAACTACCCTCCTTCGAATAATTACCTATTCTATCAGAGGTTGAGATAATGAGGGATATCAAGGGTATATGAGGATCCCTTGGTATGAGGGATATCAAGGGATCTTTGGGGATTAGGATGAACATCAAGTGATATCCCTCTTAATCTCTCAGTCTCAACTCTCGGCTTTTTTTCACTTCCGAACATCACCAGTAATTATTTTCATCAAGGGAAATTTTTTGCTTAATCGCATGGAAACTCTTACCAGAAAATTTTCTAAAAATGATATTAAAGAGGGAGTAAATCCCCTTAAACAATTTAATTAAAATTTAATTTAAAGCAAAATTCATTAATGGAACAATTAAAAGAAAACAAGCGAATAATTAACAGAAACAACGATTTAACAGAATTTTTATTAAAATCCAACATCGAAAATGAAGAAATAAAAAAAGAATATCAAAATAATTTGGAAGAAATTAAAAATAAAAATTTGGAAATAATTGAAGAAAATAACCGTCTTTCAATTAAAGTTGATTTTTTGAGGACAAAAATGGAAAAATTGGAAAAAGAAAATGAAATTAGATTAAAAGAAGTGAAAAAATTGAGAAAAGAAAATGAAGAAATAATTGGGGGGAATGAGGGATTAATTAAAGAAAAATTAAATTTAGAGAAGGAACTGAAGGATTTAAAGGGGGAAAATGAAAAATTGAGAGGGGAAAATGAGGGAAATTTAAAAGAAAAAAATAAATTGGAAAAAGTTGTGTTAAATTTGGCTGAAGAAAAGATGGATTTAATTGAAGAAAATGGGGCTAAAATGGAAGAAATGAAGAGGGAGAATGAAGGGAAGATGGGGAGAATGAGAGAAGAATTTCAGAAATTAATTAAAGAAAATGTGAGGCTACTAATGGAAAGGGAAAATTTTAAAGAAGAAATTGCGAAGATTAAAGAAGAAAATAATTTGAATAAAGAAAGATTGAATACATATGAAAAAAGGTAAATAAAGGATGTTGGAAGGGATTTTTAAAATTATTTTTTGATGTAATTAAGACCACATACCGTATTTTCTCGATTAATTCCCCTTCTCGACTAATTCCCCAAGCTAAAGTTGGGTTGAAACAATAATTCTCCACCCCCAAATACCTTACTGCATGTTCAAATGCCAAAACTCGATTAATTCCCCATGCCAAGGAATGGTTGAAAAATTAATTCCCCAGTGGAAATCGAGAAAATACGGTATTTATGAATATGAACTTATATTGGACTCCACATCGGGACTCTACTGCTAAGCAGATTCTACTCTGCTGCTAAGCAGAGTAGAATCGGAATTCCAATTTCCGACAGTTCCGATTTCCGGCACCATCGTCATCTCCGATTCACCTCTGCTGCGAGGCATCGAACATATAAGTCTCACATTAATTAAGTTGGGTGTATTGTCACTTCACCGAATTACCGACAGGTATCTAAATCAGGGTCCGTAAAATAAGAACTCGGTTGCTGGTTAGGTAACCACCAACCGGCGGTTTTAACCGGTAAAATAAGACGGTCGTAAGGTTAACCATGACCTTGTGGTTAGGTGACCTGGTTACCTAACCATCAACCGGCGGTTAAAATCAACCGGTAAAATAAGACGGTGGTTGCTGGTTAGGTAACCATAACCACGTCGTCAAAAAAGCTACCATGGTCGATAGCAGGGTTAAAAAAAGTAACCATGGGCTTTTTAATTTTATAAAAAATTTCAAAATTAAAATAAAATTCTGAAATAAAATTTTTCTAATATTTTAAACAATTCACTATCTAAACATATAAATTTTGTGAATTTTGACCGTGAAAAAGATTTTATATGAATTTTTTAAAAAGTCACCCTAAAACTGGGCAATTTTTGGGGTAAAAATTTTCGGAATGGCAAAAATCATTTTTAAAAATTATAAAATCAGGATAAAATTAATAAATAAAAATTTACGGATATTTTAAACAATTTTTATAAAATATATAAAATTTGAAAAAATTTTTGCAAAAAATTTTTTTTTAATTTTTAAAAGGCAAAGCAAATGTGGAAATTTTGTGAGACGAAAATAAAATTTAATTAAAGCGCACTGCCAGTTCATCACGTAAATTTACAGCAATTTGACGGGATCTTTGTTCGTTTAAATTTTGACATATATTCTCTTCAATTTCTTCCTCCTCCATTCCTTCTGAAAAATTTTGATCAATTTCCTCTTCAATTTCAGGCAGTTTAAACATTTTTGCAATATTATGTAGAACAAAACAGGCCATAATTGCGTTGGGTACTCGTTCAGTCTTGAGACGATAACCTGTATGGTTTATGCTGAAACGTCGTTTCATCTGTCCAAACGCTCTTTCAATTGAACATCTCGCCTTACTCAATGCCTAGATTTTTTTAAATATTTTTAAATTAAATTTTTAAACAAACATTGTTGAATCTATTTTGAGCTGGAGACAAAGGATTTTTGTATGGAACAAGGAGCCAGGGCTTGAGTGGGTAACCAGAATCGCCCAACAATAATGTTTTGGTTCCAGAAGCAGAAGATTCAAAATAAGTCCAGACATTTGAATTTCTAAAAAATACACGTATGGATAGGTTGCAAAATCAATTTACCTTAATACAAATGAGTCATGAGTTGAACCCGGCCATTTTGTATCGACGGCCAAAAACTTGCAATCCAAATCACAAATTGCTTGAACATTGATGCTGTGAAAGTTCTTTCTATTAACATAACTATATTCATCAGGACCATTAGGAGCCTAAAATAATTTTATAAGCAAACATTGATTTTTATCTTACGGCTATTCTACAATGAGTACAGTCAATTGAACCAATAATATAAGGAATTGAGCAATAATTAAAAAAAGCTTCTTTAGTGCGAATTTCCGAATTTCCACGAGGGAATGAAATAAAATCAGCAGAATGCGATGCAATTGCTCTAGTAACCCTCTCAATACATTTTGAAGCAGTCATTTGATGCATTTTGAATGTGTCAGAAATATGGAGTTGAAATTCATTTGAAGCTAGATAATGCAGAGTTGTGAGTACCTATTAGAGTTAACAAAGAAAATATTTAAAAAATTTAACTTGAATTGGTAATGGCACAGGATTGCCTTTCTGTGAATAGGGTACAATATCGTCTTCTATAATTGAACAAATATACGAAATTGCTTCTTCATTGAATCTGAATCTCTTCAGTAATTCTCTATTTTTTGAATCAGGAAAAAGAGCTTGAAATTCCGCAATTAAATTAAAATATTCTCCTTTCCTCTTTCTTTTATTTATTTTTATATTCATATATTCGGCCATTCTAAAATAAAATAAAAATTTAAAAAATTAAACAATATTGAAATTGTAATTCAAAATAAAATAAATATAACAAAACAATTTATTTTTATTTAACAATCTTCAAAATCATCAAGAACAAATTTTTCAACAACATATTTATTACTAGGATTCTGATTTTCTTTCGTTTCTTCAACTTTTCCTTTATAATGTTTTTCCATAATTTCATAAGCAGAAGTAGCACGATCAACCAATTTATCAATTTTTTTCAATGAATTTGAAATATGCTGTTGATTCGAGAGAGAAATTTCCAATACTTGTCTTTGGAGTTCTTGCAAATTTATTTCATTTTTTGATGGTCCAACATTAAATTCAAAAATTTTCTTTTCCTATAATTTTCTAGTTGAGAAAAAAGATAAATTTAAAGAACCTCTATTTTAGGAGATTTTGGTGCAGAACCAAAGATTTCAGTTTCCAATCCACCTTGAACTCCACTAAACGAAGCACTATTTCCAAAACAAGTAATTATTGCTGAATGGACAGGATCATTCGTTTTATCCAAATTTCCTGGTCCTCCTCCAGTTCCTCTAAGATATCTAAAATAGTTTAATTTAATTAGATTTCTTATATCAATTAAATCTTTAAACCAACTTTTGCTCAGCGGCGTATTTTTTCTTGCTTTCTCGTTTCAAATTGTGCCATTTTTCTCGCACTTGATTTTCCAATACACTTGATCCAAATGTAGCATTTAATTGGGACGTCAATTCTTTCCAAGCATCATTTGATTTTCTTGAAAAATCAGCAGTTCTTGCACTGGGAAAGAAAGTTTCATGTTCATCTCGAATTTGTTCAACTATAAACGTTGACATTTCTTTCGTAAAAATTGCCATTATTTTTGATAAATTAAATGTAATTTATATATGCTCCTGAAAAATAAGATAAAAAATGACGAATAGAAAGGAATATAAAATATTCACACAAAAACATTTTAAATAAAAAATAAAACACGTGTTAAAATAATTTTACAAAGGGTAGTAGACGTTTCAGAGTCGTCATTTGAGTCTACGATTTAAATAATTATTAATCAACTTAAGCATCACAGCTAAAAATGACACAAAAGGGGCTAAACTGTTTTTGACGATGAGCAAAAATTTTTAAAACCACCCTTGATCCTTTATTTCCATGTTAATATTTTCAAATTAAATATAAAAAATAAAAACATTAATTAAATAAAAGTTTAATTTTTATAACGGTAAAATAAGAAGCTGGTTGGTGGTTAGGTAACCTTACGACGGTGGTTAACCACGTGGTTTTCTTATTTTACCGGTTTACAATGACCTTGTGGTTACCTAACCATGGTTAGGTGACGATGGTTAGGTAACCCAGGGTGGCCATTTCCAAATCGTCAAAAGGGAGCATGGTTTCTCAAAAAGGGGGCAAAAGGATGGCATTGCAGAAAATGGGGCAAAAGTGGACGAAAAGGTCAAAAATTGGCAAATGCGTCCTAAAGGTGGGCCACCCTGATTTAAACTGAGTTTCCCACCAAGTGTCAACTACTACTCCACTTAAGTTTGTTTAAATTTTTTTACCTGGAAAATAGACCTCAAGGGTTAGAATTCTCTCTAGCTTTGTTAATCCTTCAATTAAATTACCTAATAATTAAGTTTTGTTGACAACTACACTAAATTGTCTAGAGAACTGGAAAATTCTATTACTGATTTAGCAAATTGTAAGAAAGAAGTTTTAGACTTAAAATTTGTGGTGAGTTTGTATGTAAAGACTAACTCAGTTAAAAAAATCATTTAAGCGTTATGTATCACAGAAAAACAGAATTAACGAAATTAGCGATAAATTAACTTGTTGTGAAAATAAATGTATTAATTCAACAATTTCTAATGGCACCTGCAAAGCTAAAAAAGGATTTATTAGAATTTGTGAGGGAATTTTAGTTAAATATTATTTAGCTAAAGAAAATGGTTTTTGGAAATAAAAAATTTAAAAATTAATTTTAAATTATTTAAGTTAATAATAAAATTATTTGTTTTTATGCCCAACATCCATTTACAAAAGCTTGGGGTTATTGCTGTAATTATTCTCTATTTTATTTTGAAGTTACTATGATAGAAGAAGCTAAGGAGAAAACGTAAAAGATTAAAAAAAATTTTAATAATTAAAATTTAAAAATATGTTGGTATAAATTAGAGATCGAACCGAGACGAGATCTCGAACTATTGGTTATTGAAAGCCAAGATTTCATGGCCCCTCACAGTCTTGTATCTAGTTTAAATTAGGGTAGCAACTCCAACCCCGATATTCCCGCCCCCGCCACCCTCGATCCCCGACAAGGGTTGGGAGTGGCGGGGATCGGGGTTTGCCGGGGTATGACTTCAGGAGGTCGGGGTTTGTGCTAAAAAATTGTCGGGGTAAAGGGATGGGGTCTAACATACTTTAACTAGATGATATTACCAGTATCTTAAATTTAGTTATAATTATAAAAATAAATTTAAAAAATAATTTATTTTTCAGTAGTTATGTTGGAATTGGTTTTTATAATATTCCTACAAAATTATCCATAATTAATAATTCAAATAATTTTTGGGATGATCAGAATAACGACATAACTTTTCATAAATCCTCCTGGAAGGATAAAGATGTTTTTGGTTGTGGGGTTGTTTTTCCCTCTTGGAAAGATAAAACAGCATTGTCTTATATATTTTTTACTAAAAATGGGGTCAGAATTGGTGAGGGTTTTTTCTTATTTAAAATTGTAAATTTTTCTAAACCTGTTTTGGTATTAACTCAAG